TTTTTTATAAATTGCATTAATTCCAAGCACAGATTACACGAAAACCACTCGTTTGTTCAAAAAAGGATGCACAACAATATTTAAAGAACTGATTTTTTACAACAGACGGTTTAAGACAAACATTTTTGTCTTCAATTTTGTAGTTTCGAAATTTTAACTTTTTGCAATTTTTGATAATGAGTAATTTTTATGTTACTACTTTACAACCTTCACCTTCATCACCTAAGGAAAGCATGAAACTTGTAGCCCTAATTAACGACAATGTGATGAATTGTTATTATCTTTAGGAGTCAATTCCTGAGGGAATAAATTTTTCTATTTGTTTCCATAACAATTTCACCATTTGGTAGGGAAAAAATTTAATCCATTAGCCTGTTATAGTATATTACGGGTGGAAATACAATATATTTGTTTTAAATCTTCATCCTAATTCTTTGAAGTGCAACGACACTACTTGGGAAGTACTGCATTTTCCACGCGTAATATATTATTCAACAACAAATTTGGGTTTCTGGATCTATTTCCTTGTGTGTATTTCAGTCGGCTAGTGAAAGTGCGACCTGCTCCTTCTGCCGCGACTCGGGGTCCACATTATCTTCGATGGCCCCGTGTCAGCAACCATCTCTTCCAGTCTCGCAGTGCTACACGGCACTCACTGGGCCATGTCGGCCACACCCACCGCCGCCTCTTCCTCAGACCGTGAGTTGCTTGTCTTTGAAGAAATGCCACAATGATTTTCATTAATTGTATGTTTTATGAAGTTTACGGAATTATGAAGTTTGTAGACTATGTTTAATAGTATACACTATGAAACGATGATCTAATGAAGGGTATTAATACACGAGTGCTGTACTACGACACGAGCGAGTATCTTGAACGGCACACGAGTGTATAACACCCATTAAATCGAGTTTTATCGGTATCTTTTCTTCTATTTATCGAAACGTTTATAATTTAAATTGAATATTACTTTGAATCGTTTCGTGGCAGTTGATATGCAGGATTCAGCCAAGTCCATTTAGCTCCCTAACCCTTCCCTAGCAAGTGGCTTTGGTTACCAGTCCGCCTGCGAGGGAGTACTGAACTAGTCAAATAGGATCAAAGTGAAAATACGATCCAATTTATTTTAAATAACATTTCATGAAAAAAATACTACTAATAAAATAAATTAAAACTAACAAGCGTTATATCATATTACATGCAACTTTATTGTACACAATCAAACGAAACATTTACTAGATAGATTCTCAATTATTAATAGTCAATACTTGGTTTGCGAACTTCTCTGTGATTGGTCAAGAACCTGTATCATAATGAAATCAGTATCGTAATTTATTATATCTTTATGCAACTGATTACAGCCATCAAATGACAGAATTACACTTCTTAGTGTGAATTTCAGTCGACTCCTGAAAGTACGACCTGCTCGATCTGCTGTAACTCGTCGGAATCTTCATCCTCTTCGATGCCTCCGTGCCTGCAGCCGTCTCTTCCGACTACGCAATGCTACACGACAACAGTTCCGCCATGTCAGCCCCAACCACAACCACAAACAGCGGTTGGTTTCCTTTTGAAGACGGATCAGTGATTTTTCTTTATTTGACCTGTGATTGTTAACTATGGCATGTTACTGAACAAAATTTAGCTGATAAATATTTAGATTAATGATTTATGAAAGACACGTAGATGCTAATATTTTAGACCAGAATTAATGCGTAGAAACAATAGTCATAATAATAATATTTAAAATGTTCATTTTGCCCCAATTAGGTACATTATACAATTATGTCTTTCTTTGTATTGTCTTAACTATTACTGAACTATGTTTATTATTATTATTATTATTATTATTATTATTATTATTATTATTATTATTATTATTATTATTACTGTTGTTGTTATTGCAATATGCTGTGGATAATTAGAAAATTTAAAGGATTCGAGAGAATTTAATTTTATTTCACATCTAGATTTGGTTCATGATAAATTATAAATATAAATAATTCGCTTAAATCTAATGAATTCAACATGTGCATATAAGAATTTTTTTTTTAAATCGAGAGCCTGTCCTATGGCGCGACAGCCCGCTACGGGCCATGGCCGACCAGCGGTGACCCATCGTCTCGGCCATAGGATTAAGGGGTTCGTCCCTTCACCGTGTAATCTTGCCTTCATAACCTTAGGGTAGGCTCTCTCATCGTCACACAGCAATAGATCTTGGGACATTTGTAAGGGAAGGTTCGCTAGCCATTTTAGCCTAATCATTTGGGTAGGCCCTCACCGTTCTCGGCTCGGGTGGTGGCAATGACACACACACACCCCCGCTGTACAGAGGCCGCGTTCTGACGCGCCGGGAGCGTTAGGAATCTACTTGTCAATACTAAGGTGTTTGAAGGACTTCCGGAGCAGAGTCAATGCCCCCCACCCACATGAACCCGCCACTTACCCCGCGACCTCGAATCATGCTCGTCTTGTTTGTACGTGGTGAATAATGTAGGAACCAGGTACATGGAGCCATGCCTCTCTACCTAGGCTTGGTAGTAGATGAGCTCCATTTCAATGTCAAATTCTTCGAAACTTTCACCCCATATGAATGTAAATGTATACAACATAAGTATGAAATGTATTGGACCTACAATTATAAGTAAACAAGATGGCGTTCGGCATTAATCACATGTAATTTCTTCCTCGTTAGCTTGATGCAAAGCCACTGATAATGTGAAAATAGTGCCTGAAATGTATTTCGTTGATATTTGATACTTATTCTATACCTACATTGTAAAAGATTAATTCTTTCTCCATACCATCTATGTAATGTAATTCTACAAAACTTCCCCCGGATCGATCGGAATAAAAGTGTGTGTGTGTGTACGCAGTGCCCGTGCTGCGGCGGGAGCGGTAAAGTGCCGGGCTTCAACAGACCCTCCCCCCCAACCGCCTGCCCTCTCGCAGCGCGCATGCGCCCTTCGCAGAACGGAGACCAGGATTGCTGCGCGTGTCCCTGCGACAGTAAGGGCGTTGACTGTACCAGAATGGACCCACAGGTATGGGAAGACATGTTCTAATATACAAACCTTCGAGACCCAGACTTCATGTTTTGAATAGAGCAATGAAATCGCACACGTATACTTCATAATGATTGTTTAATTTAATGATAGTTGCATTTTATTCACTTACGGAACGATATGTTTGTGAAATGATGCTAGAGTGCTAAGTTAGAGATGTAGGTGAGGTTTATGTACAATTATTTACGTTAGAACCACTCTTAATTTACGTCCTTAAAAAAGTCCATAAAGAGTCAAAACTTCGGAACCCTTTTATAATAACCACCTAAATTTGCACCTAAAGGTGGTTGTCTTATGAGATGGTCGTCATGAAGAGGTATCACTTATCAAATCTGTTTTCTGGGCATGGACGTAAATATATACTCTCTTTATTTATTTATTTATTTATTTACTTATTTATTTATTTATTTATTTATTTATTTATTTATTTATTTATTTATTTATTTATTTATTTATTAAATAAAAACTATAAATAATATGCAATAACAAGCAATTCATTAAGGAACAAAAACTATTGTAGATAGCATACTAATACATTCCTCTTTATTTTCCTTGAGCATAAAATCTCATGTAGTGTGTATTTGGATTTCTTCACACGTTTAGCCACATTAATTTGTTCATATTATTTTTCAATCTCACCTAACAAATTTATTAACTTGTCATTTTTCAATTAATTTGCCAGTGACGTATGCTTCTTAATTCTGGAGAGAGCTAGAGCTCATAATTTTGGTTCAACATGAAACCTATCACTTTTTCCGCCTTCATCGTTGTCGACAGGGCTAAGTTCCGAAACCAAGTCATCCCAAGTTTCATTATCATTGAAACAGTCGATCCGCTCGTCTATAATATCAACGTTATCATCAATACTGCTGACTTCAGCCAAGTCCTCGATGACTTCTACACTATTGTCATGAAGTTTCTTCACTCAAATCAGCACTTCAAATTCTACAGTTTAGAAAACAATTTCTCATTTCACTTTATTCCAAGCACTTTTCATTGAACCTTCAGTATCCCAAACTGTAGTAGATTTTGCAAATTCATAAACAGTGGTGGAATCATCCATTCCACCAACTAATTATCTCAATTTTTTCATACACATGATATTGAACATACGAATTACACCCTGATCTAGGGTTTACAATCAAGATGTCGTATTTGTCAAAACTAATTTTATTTGTACACTTCAAATTTTTTTTTGCAATGACACGGAGCATAATCGATCAATACAATCTTCCTGTTTGCATGTGGCATATTTTTGTCCAGCTTGTGCAGTCACGAAATCGCACGTCAGTCATACTTTTTTTTGGCGTGCCAGAAAATGTTTCTCAACCTAGTGTCGTCATGTTTGATAAGTAACCTAGAGCGGCGGTGACTGGGATGAAGCGAAGTCGCGAGGGGTTCCAGGAATTTTCTTTGTCTGTTCAGCTTCCCTGAGCTCTGATTGGTGGTTTCTAACTTTCCCAGATAACTTACGTGCGGATGCCGAAGCATCACTCTGTAAAACGGGCAACAAACTTTACGAGATCTTTCTTTCGCATCCCTCTCCTCCAACGGTGCCGAGTGAGGAAAAACATTTTGTTCTATCCAACTAAGAACAGACATACGTCAAAGGGAAGAAGGTCACTCCCTCCAAAAATAATTGAATTGGTTGATGAAAAGCAAAATCAAAATACACCTCGTCACTTTTCATAACAAAATAATAATACAGCAAACGCGAACGAATACATATAAAGTACCTAATTCTATTGAATGGGCTATCAAACGTGTTATCTGGTCAATGAATGTTAGGTGTTTACGTTCCAAATTTGTACAAAATCTCACTATTATTCGTATTGATTCGTACGCCGAAGTGTGGCTTATTTCTGTTCATTCCAGAATGACCTCGGTGGGGGCGGACTGAAATGTCCGTGTTGTGGAAACAGCGTGTGTTCCGCAATGGAGATACAGCTGATTCCAGCAGAAGTAAGTTACAAGTGCATTACTTGTTACTTAACTTTGGCCAATAATGATGAGCATGGCTAGCATTATATATTCGAAGGATGAGTTTGTTCATACAGGACCCGATGATAGAGTAACCAAAGTCATTCATGAGTGCAAAAGGAAATAATGTAAACCCTATGCCAAATTTTGATAAAACCTTTTTTGTTATTGGTAATTTTTGCTAGTACCCCAAATATTACTTTAAATATTGTTTTTGTTGCTATTATTGCATTCTTATCTAAAATCTGAAAAAAGAGAAAACTATATTTAAGTGTTATTGAGGATAGTTTATCATATTTGCGTATGCAACGCAAATTTCGCATTTTCACCTCGTAAAACAGGGAATTCACAAGTGTACAAAATAGCCTCCTCCTGCATGAACGCAAGGTAGGCGTCTGTGCAGCACGGCGTCCGTGACGCGTACAACTTCCGGGTTGAACCTTTATTTGGGCCGCCACGCTTTCAATGCGACTTCGGTAACATAAATTCGGTCTTTCATTTATCCCAACTCCAAATGCATTGGGAGTACCTGAGTTATAAAATTCAAATATTCAACGTCTCTTAAATGCTCCGATAAGAAGTGAGGACCGAGGATAAATTCATTCACAATGCCAACCGACCCATTTAGAAAGAATCGCTCCTGTGAGCTACACAACATGCAACATGCAGATTTTCCTCGGCTCTCATTTGCCAATTGTACACATTAATTGTGCCAATTCTTGTAAAAGACGCTTCACCTGACAAAAGAACGAAATTCCTGGTCGTTGCATTTCGCAGGAAAAGCCTTGATAAACGACGAAATTAGTCTCAAATGTGCAAATGCTGCACTCGCTAGAAATTGAAAAGACGTAACCTCTCTGCATAAAGTGTTCACTAGACGAGGGTTCGTTGATTACGATCGCCAGGGCTTCTCGGATAGTATTAGCAACTTGAGTTTTCCTGAGTTCCTAGGCGAGTGGCAAGTGGCGAGTTCCGAGGCGAAGTGAAGCCGCTCACTCACTTGCCGTAGCCCATGTTACTCGATGACAAGAACATAGTCCTAAATTCAACGTTAATTATTTACAAAAGTAAACGATGAACAGTACACGATTTCAACGAGGTTTCAATCGCCCTGTTTATATATATATATATATATATAACATAATATAATATAATATCTCAATAGTGACCTGGTTAGAAATGCAGATATTCATATGGAAAGTTTTTTTTTTTTCATTTTTTATCATATTCATATTTTACTATTTTTTGAACATCAGTTATTTTCTTTCCATAATAGCCCTTTACATACCAAAGAAACAAAAATGATCCTGTTTTATAACACCACACAACACATGAATAGCAAATATTTAATGGTTGCCTTTTCTTTGGTGCCTTGCTGTCACATGACGTCAGCTGTGTCGTAGAAAGTAACGCATTGACCATGCCAATTCAGTCGGCAAACACAGTATGTGAATAGGCGGGATGAGACAATCAAATATTCATAAGAGATCACTGCCTGACATTGTACTTTCACAATTTATGTGAGATTTTTGGGTTGACCTAGGAATATGAATGTAGCGGCGATATGAATGGTATCTCCGTCCAAATGCGACAACCAACCAACGAGACGAGGAACCAGACTATCGCAAACTATGTAGCCTGCCCCAATGAATTTGGCGAGTTGGCTATCTGTCCCATGCAGAAACCAGAGGCAGAGGTATATGTGATATCTATTTCACATTAAAGCAAGTAGTAGTTGTAATTTTAGTAATAGTAGTAGCATTAGTAGTAATAATAATAAAAACAACAATAATATTAAAAGTAATAGTAATAGTAGCATTATATTAGTGGAAGTAGTAGTAGTAGACAGTTTAGTCCACAATTTTTGCCGCCCTTGTGCCTATGCGTCAATCTGTGCCTGCGTACGGGGATTTTGCTCAATACCTGCCTCCAGCAATGCCAGGGAGAACTCAGGCAGGTCCTGAGGCTGTACGTCTCTATAGCCCAGCCAACTGAATTAGAACATGCAGAAAAATATGAAAATCAACTTGTGTAATAAATACATAACAATATAAAATTATAAATTGTTCATTTCAACTGTTACAATGGTGTCAGATCATTCAGCCTTGTGACCGATGACTGCACGTGGTGTTGAGGACTATGTAGACCAGGTGAAAATTTATATTCAAACACCCTTTTATCGACGCTTAAGAAGACGCTTAAACGATACTTCATATCTCGAAAATACAATATTATAATAGAATAATACATAAAATAATAAGTTTCTTTTGTCTTTTAGATACAATGTTTCGTTTCTCAAGCGCCAATATGTAAATCTTTATCACGTTTCGATCTGGATTATGCTTCATTCGAATGTAAATATCGATACAATGAAAACTAAGTGTGAATCGAAACTTCTATACTTATGACGGACTCAAATCGCACAACAAACAATGCATTCGACAATTGAGGCGCTAAGATGCTGAAATAGACACGGTTCTTTCTCGTTTTTAATTCGTAGAATGTTTTGTTAATTATTTCTTATTTAGCCCTGCGATCCATTCAAAACACTGTAAAACATTAAATATTTACAATGAACGAATGTAAATTATTTCTTTGCCGCACCTAAAGAGTTTTTTATTTCTATATCTCATGACGGAAGGTCAAAAATTCACGGACAAGAATCTCATGTCTAAGATGATCTTACGGATTCGTTTCCAAGTACCCTGGAAATGTAAACAAACAAAAAAACATCCAAATCATGGAGTCGGACTTGGACATCGTTGTCCGTAATGCCAGAGAGAAAAAATGGGGTTAGTTTATATTCTGAGTTATCAGCTATATCAGCTTACTAATGTCATGGAAAAGTAAGATACATTTCATAAAATCCAGTGTTCCGTTAACGCGACGACACTTCCGTATTTCATTACACAGCCTTCCTGACTTTCTACTTAATCCATCAAGTTTTTTAGCGCGTCACGTGTAGATGAATCTTCGCTGAAAATGTATTGAAAACATTTATTCAATGTTTCATCTCTAAACCAGATAATATCCTTTTCTCGAAAGTTTGTACCTATTTAGTGAACTAGAACATGCCTTTAGTTTTGGCCAACACTGTGACTTTATTTCAAGAAAGCCTTCAGTATTTTATGTAATAACACGTATGTAATGTACCTTGCAATGAGGCAGTCTTACCAACCACAAAAACATACTTCAAACATGTTACTTAACTTTGTTTTTGCGGATTTGTTTTCTAGTGTTGCCCGCTTTGTGGTAAAAAACGAAAAAGTAATGACAAAAAACAAAAGAAGAACCACGCAAAAGGTGACCAGGATATTGCGGACTGTAAGGCCTGTCCGAATGAATCTGGCCAGTTTGTCACCTGCCTCAAGAAGGACGCACAGCCATCGGTAATGCTTTGGTTTTTGTAAAAGCGTGATGATAGTATTCCCCGTAAGGATAAGTAATAGATTACTCGTAAATTAAAGAAGAAGCGATTAATTGTGACAAGTACGAGAACATTGTGTTGCGTAGCTGAACTAAGCACTCAATAAGAAGTTTGCAGTATAGAGTCTTTTGGCAAAAGAGAATTTTTAAAGTGTTCACTACATTATTAACTAATTGGCACATTTAATTATTTACTCGACCACATGCAATTTGCCAATGCTGGTGAGAGCGCTTCAGTTTGTTTACATCAAGTCACCGCCTTCTAAATCCATAAAATGATAAAGTGTAGAGTAGGAAGCAGTGGATCACAATAAATCTGAAGCGAACGAATAACGTTACAAGTGTCCGAAAATAAAAGTTAGCTGTTATTAATAAAAATTATATTCGTCAATATCGGAGGCTTCAGAAATGTGTTCCGGGTACGTAGTTTCAAAACTATACCTAAATGTTACTTATTCCCTACTACTCTGCTTATAGTCATGAATGGGATGTGATTAAGGCGATGACTTTTAATAAACAGTAGTTTCCCATGCTGCCACCAGCATATTTGGTGGCTCTTTACTTAGTATGCTTTTGCTTCAAACGTTTGATTTAGAATACAGTGCAGTGTCCTTATAGAATAAAATGAAAAATTTTCAAAAATCTTACTTTCACCTAATGTGTTTAAATGAAATAATCCAAATTAAATTATATAAACACACATGTACATCAAAAATAAGTTTTTTACAAATTTAAATCCTCTTATTAAGTTGTCGAAATTCATTGAAGTAAATAAGAAGTTAGTAGCCAATTAGTACATACCTAAATAGTGGTTATTGATACAAGTTTCTGAAATATTTTAAAACTAAATCAAAAGTTAATAAATAAGAAATGATACTAAAAATACTTCCCGTGGGTATCAGGGCCTCTTGCTACCAAAAGAGCAAAGAACTTATTAGATAATATTAAGAGAAACATGACGAGAAGAATTTTCTATACCTAAAATTGATCAGTTGGATATGTAAATGCGTCATCGTAAATATTCAAGTGATTTATACAGACATACATACAGACACATACGCCGCGTCGTTGTGGATACACGCAATTCGGAGGCATATAATTAGTTACTTATGTGATCGACAATCATTGTAAAGCAAAGGAACTTGCCGCTAGTGTAGATGCGTACACTATTTATTTGTTTATTTGTTATTTATTTATTCGTTAAATGTATCCTAACAGAGGCCAAAAGAGGTTGAGTGCCAGTGCGACGGGCAAAGCAATGGACACCACAGGCGTCACAGAGCCTCCTCACAAAGGCCAGCAGAGGATCCTCAAGCGAGGCACGATCGGAGGGTAAGTCCAGTCAATGAAATTCGTTTTGAATGGTGCTATTGTCAAATTCGACCCGTTGCCTGACACTCGCTGCACAGTCGACGGGGTGCAAATTGACGGGGAGGATGTCAGGCCATAGAGAGTGGTGCTGGAAAAGTGTTCATTGGATCCGCGAGTCCACAATTAATACACTTCCATGTATTTCATTTATTATTTCTAATGATGGCACAATTAAAAGAGATTTTTTGGAGGTGTTGTCAGAAAAAAATTATTAGGGGGGTTGAATGTGGGAATAAATGGTGGGATAATCAGTGTTGAAAATAAACTGGAGGAAAATTGAAAAATCAAAAGAATAATTAAAACAATGTAAGATAAGAGAAAATCAGATTTTGAAAGTTATGTAAATTAAAAAAAGGATATTGGAATGATAAAAGAATAAATGAGTTAGGAGAGATTAAATCTGAGAGGGAGGCATGGGAAATATGAAAGAAAGAAAGAGGAAAAGGTCAGAGGATAATTGGAAATGACATAGACATGAAAGAATGGTACGAATGGTTTAAGGAACGATTTGAATGTCAGGGTAACATGAAAGTAATGGAAAATGAAGTGAGCCCGAGGGAAATTAAGATCTACATGAGAAAATAGACAAGGAAGAAATAAGAAATGTCAAAAGGATTAAAGAAAATAGGAGGCTGATATGAATTCGAAAGAATTCTGGATCTATTCTAAGAAAGAAAGTATAAGACTTATTGAAAGCTTATTCAATATGACAACTGAGCACGGAATGTATTTCAGAGGAATGTATATAAGGTGTAATCATTCCAGTTTACAAGAGAAATAGAAAATTACATAGCTATTTTACATCAGTAAAGTTGACGAGCCCCCCCCCCTCCAAGCTTTTCATTGATTATCACCCTCAAATATTTATACGTTACCTGTGGCACTAGTTCTTGTTCCCAAGCAAATACTTAGCTTGGGACCCTTTATTTCCACTACACGTAACACTGTTTTGCATTTATTCGGATTTATCTTCATTCTATTGATTTCCGTCCATTCTTCCAAGCATCGCATGTTGCTCTGTAGTCTATCCTGATCCGATAGGTTTTCGATCATCTGTAAATAAGGAAGTCGTCCGCAAAAAGTTTAATTTTTGAGCCTCCCTCAACCCTTAATATTCCCTCTGCTATGTCATTTACATATACCAAATATAGTAAAAGTCCGAGTACATTCCCCTGCGGAATCCCAGACGTTACACTAACTCTTCCCGACAGGTTGTTTCCCACCCTTACTCGCTAGTCCCGGTTATTAAAAATCCTTAATCCATAGTATCACTCTTGAGTCTAGCCCTATTCTGTCTAATTTTTCAAGTAGGGTGTTATGGGGGACAAGATCAAAAACCTTAGTAAAGTTTATTCCCGCCGCATCAATTCTATCACCTGCATCTAATGCATCCGCGATGTCCTGGAAAAAAGCTATTGTTTGAGTTTCTGAACCCACGCTGCCCCACAAATAGCCAATTTTCTCTCCTCCACATGTTTCTAATGTCTTCAACGATTATGTACTCCTTACAGACAACTGATGTAAAGCTAAGAAGCCGATAATTTTTAACTTCTGATGGGAAGATCTGAAAATATTTTAGAGAATAGAGGAATTGCATTAAATCGGGATAGGAGTTTAAAAAGGGCAGAAGAAGAGTAAATGTGAGAAAACTATAAGGATAGGAAGTATTTTAGAAATGGTGAACGATTGTAAGTATTTAGGGTTTTGGCTTCGTAAGGGAGGGGGTTTGAAAAGCGCATAGCAAAAATAGGTAAGAAGGGAAGAGTTACGGAACACATGATTTATTACTTGGTTACGCTGTTTTCCATTAGGCGTCAAGTAGAAAAGCGTCGTTCACGGCGGGAGATTCGAGGCGGGACAGCGCACCATGCGCGAACATGGAACAAAGAAAGACGAAGAAGGCGAAGAAAGAGTCAAGCAAGTCAAAGGTAAGTTAACTTATTCCATCGTAGCCGGGCGTTGAGTGCAGCGAAGACGCTTCACTTAAACACTGTTTCTTGGATTAAAAAACAAACAAAAAACTTTACGGCTACTTACAAAAGAGCGCCGCCTCTGGTTCGAGTGTGCTCGCTGTCAAGCAATCTGAAGGCGGCTCAGATTGATTGACTGATTGTTAGTGATTCCGGGCGCCTCAACTTCTAAGGTCATAAGTCCCGGAAGTGTAAAGTGTGTTTTTGCTCGGGATGGGGCGGCGGTCTTCCCCCGCTGTGTGGCGTTATCCGACGTTGACCTACCGTCGTCTAACTGGGTTTTCCCCAACCGGTTATCTCCCAACAGCGGGGCACCGCCCCAGTTAGGACAAGGTCCATGCTTCCGACCGGTCTTCCGGCATGTGTGGTAGTGTAGTGCTAGTTAGTGTAAGGGGGTGTAAGTAAGGGGTGAGGATAGGACAAGGAAGAGAAAGGAAACATCGCGCGCGGTCAGTTGCCCGTTTGTTAGGGCACACTGCTCCGGCATTCGCCTGCTGTTGATCGGAGTAACCACGGAAAACTATTGCGGCTCAGAATCCTATTCCTAGAAACAGTAGAATCTTTTCCGGGGCGATGACAATGTAGACGGGCTGGCTAGAGCATTGCCGCTCCTTGGGAAAGGCGTAAGCGCTGACACTGAGAATCCGTTGGCGCACCGGCATTTGCAGGCGTGAAGGTGGCAAAAGAGAATAGGCGGCCTTACACCATCGTTCTTGAACGCAAACCACTCAGGCACACCTTTCAGTTCGCAGGTCGAAAGGGGAGTTCGGTTTGTGCGCAAGAGCGCGGTCCGGAACTCACTCCAACAACGCATAACACGTGGAGTGTTGTTGCGAGTGGACATAGTGACCAGCCGGGCGGAATTTGAAATGGCGAACGCTTGTTGCTAGCGCCGGAATATGGTGAGGGAGCTTTTTCCATATACAGGGAGTGCCCTAGTCTATAAATGATTAAAAGTTCTGTGTATACTAATAAAAAGTTTTAAAATGAGGGGTACGGGAAATAATCAGGATAGTTCTCCTTTAATTCCTTCAATAGCGGCATGTGATCATATTTTTGTCTGTAAATGTTTACCTCAAACAGTGCGTTTTTTTCTCCATTGCCTCTTGGTGTAGTGTTGTGGCACTAATTCCAAGCACTGCTATAATTTTCCTTTTACGATAATTGTGAACGGACAACATTTCTGATAAAGCTAATCGAAAAAATAGTAATCTGATTCACTATACACTATATAAACACCACGGGATAACACGCAACACGATCAGAACATATATAACTGCACCAACACAGAGTAGCAGCAGCAGCAGCAGCAGCGGCGAGGAGCGTGGAACGCACGTGAGGACCGTCGGATCTCAGAAATTTCGCGCGCTGCGCAAGAGCGCGCTCTAGAACGCTGCTGAGCTCTTTATCCGGACGATTTTTCTCGAATCGCGCTTGAGTGGCGCGCAGAAGCGTGGTAGAAATAAGAACTACACTTCTGCCCGCGCGTTTGCGCGCGCCCTAGCTCGTGGTCAGGAACGTCTCGGTCAATCGCACGACTAAGAATCTCCGTGTAAAGGGCCCTAATGATTGGTTGGTGATGACTTTCAAGATATTGTCACTCGTATGCTGTCAGTGTTTCATTGTATCCTCTCTCTTATGTAAGTTAGAAGTAGTATTTACGTGCGAGCACAGAGTGTATTATTAGTAATCATTAAGAAGAGCATGTTTTAATTATTTCAAGAATTTAATTTGATTATGAACTGCAGTCATGCAAAGGCAAAAATTGGTAAGTGCAGCAATAGTGTCGAAAAAATAAAGTAAATAAACATTCAAAGTTTTAATATTGAATAATACAATCAATAATAAAATTGAAATCAAGCACATAATATATCAACATAATACTTTATGTTGAATATATTATATGAATATATTATTTTGATCTTCTAGCACTTATCATTATTGAGAAATTTAAGATTAAATTTGAAGATTTTTGCACATCAAATCAAAAGTAATGTATTTTCAAGTGGACTCTTCCAGTATTTTAACGAACAAAATGGGGAATGATAATTTAGAGTACTAAATGTCACAGTTTGCAATGGCTTGCAATGGCGTATGAAAGATCATACGAAAAGTTAATTGTACATTTCGTCTATTACAGTACATAAAACTACTTTGTCTAAATTTATTAACAGATAAATATCACTACAATACAAAACAATTTCGAAACATTTTATATTAAAATTGTACTAAGTTTCAGCTATATGACTCGAGTCTTCTTGTGTTATTGTTGTCCATTTTGACAAAACATTAAATATAAATAAATCATCCATTGATACTGTAACAATATCAAATACATTATAAAACATAGTACGAGTACAGTGTGAGTAGTATGAATAGACTAACCTAAAGAATACTTCGTTGGAGCATTTATAAATGTCATTGTCACTCTATGTCACCGATTCGTCGACTCAATTGCGGATTTCACTTTGTCGGACACGTGCAAATAACAATACGGTGAAATAGGGTATTTTTTATGTTTGTGTGCGTGTGTGTGTGTTTGTGAGTAATAGTGATGTCTAATTAACGGCGAACACAATGTTGATTTTTTGCTCAGTAAAAGTCCATTAATTCTCACAGTCTTTAATATCACGACTTCCTCTATTGCAGCGAAGATCCTCAGAAGGGAACCAAAGTGGCCCCGACCCCGACAATATTCCGTGCGGCACCTGCGAAAAATACACATCTTCCATTAGCCGTTCAAATAATCAGAGCACGCGGCAAGGCAGAGGGAAAGTAAGTTGGTTGTTTCTTCGTCAATTTTTATTGTGCATTTTTTTTGAAAGATGATTTTATTTTACCGCAAATTCGCAAATGGCATCACACTGATCTTTATGATCCCGTCTATATTTCGCATTCTAATCACCCTTTGGTTCTGGCCGGGTTTGATCCCATTGGCTCAAAATGGTTGCACGCTATCAGAGGTGCTATGACATGCAGTGTTCCACCATTTCAGCGAACAGATTCCGGAATGCACAAAGGTGACCCAAGCTCCGACAATACTCCGTGCGGATTTTGCGACAATACCACTGAGCATTTGAGTACGCGCAGCACACGGCAAGACCATGTAAGTTGGTACTTCCTACAAAGAAATATCATTGGTTCATTTTTGAGGTAACGGAGAATTTTTAGTATTGCTGCGTACACCCTAGTGAATTTCCAGGAATATTTTTAAAGTGATTTATAAGCAACTCTTTGCTCGTCAATATTTCGAATCTTCATTGACTCGACGGTTTTGAATCCGATTCTTGGAAGTATTGGCTCAAAATGATGACAATCGCTAGCAGAAAAGCCATGCCTTGGGGTTCTTCACTTTTTCAGCGGAGAGACTCCGGAATGCACAAAGGTGACCCAAGCTCAGACAATACGCCGTGCGGATTCTGCGACAATACCACTGAACATCTAAGTACGCAGAGCTCGCGTCAGGATCATGTAAGTTGGTGCTTACTACAAAGAAATTTCATTGGTGAATTTTGGAGATAACGGAGTGTTTTATTATTGCTGCGTACCCCTAGTGAAATTCCAGAATTTTTTTTAAAAGTAACTTAAAAACAACGGTTTGCTCGGCAATATTTAGCACTCAATAACGTTCATTGATTCTCGCCGGTATTGAATCCGAGTCTTGGAATTATTGGCTCAAAATGAAGACAATCGCTAGCAGAGGAGCCATGACTTGGAGTACTTCACTATTTCAGCGGAGAGACTCCGGAATGCACAAAGGCGACCCAAGCTCCGACAATACGCCGTGCGGATTCTGCGACAATACCACTGAACATTTAAGTATGCGGAACTCGCGGAAAGACCATGTAAGTTTTTAGATTGCAGTGTATGGAGATTTTTAGATTGCAGTGTATCATGTACAGAGTATTTTATTATTGCTGCGTACGCCCTAGTGAACTTCCAGAAATATTTTTAAAGTGGCTTATAAACAACTGCTCGTCAATATTTCACAATCACCAACGTTCACTGACTCGACGGTTTTGAATCCGATTCTTGGCATTATTGGTTCCAAATTATAACAATCACAACCAGAGGAGCCATGACATGGTTGATTATACTTTTCAGCGGAGAGACTCCGGAATGCACAAAGGTGACCAACTCTCCGACAATACGCCGTGCGGAGTCTGCGACAATACCACTGACCATTTAAGTACGCAGAGCTCGCGGCTGGATCATGTAAGTTGGTGCATACTACAACGAAATCTGAATGGTGCATTTTGGAGATAACGGAGGATTTTAATATTGCTGCGGACACCCTACTGAATTACCAGGAATCTATTTAATGCGACTTATAAGCAACGTTTTGCTGGTCAATAATTTGCACTTAACAATAGTTATCACCTCCTGCTGTTTTGAGACCCGTTTCTCGGAATTATTGTCACAAAAAGGTAACAATCGCTAGCGAAGGTGTCATGACATGAGATATTTCCCTACTTTTGCGGAGATGGGATATAGAAATATAACCGAAGAGCCGACAATATTCCATGAGAAATCTGCAATATTACTACTTCCACTGACCGTTCGAGTATGCAGAATAAGCGGCAAGACGAAATAAGTGCGTGCTGTCTCCAGCAAACTTCATTGATGAATATTTAAGATTCTTTTATTTTAATGCAAAACTCTAGTGAAGTTCGAGAAATCATTTTTAACCTGGCATGTAAGCAATGATTTGCTCCTCAGTATTTCTCTCCGAGATCGTTTATCGACTCTGGCAAATTTTGAACACAATAGTTGGAATTTTAGAAAAAAGCGATAACAATCGCGATAAATGGAACCATGACATGGTATGTTCCAAAATTGCAGCGGAGAGATCTCAGAGTGGACAAACGTGACGCAAGTTCCGACAATACGCCGTGCGGAGTCTGCAGCATTACATCTTTCTCTGATTGTTCAAGTATGCAGAGCAAGACGCAAGACCAAGTAAGTTGATGTCATCCCTTAAGTGGCGTTCCAGGAATTTTTTGTCGTGGAATAAAATAAAAAGTTTTTGTCAAAGTACGGGATAAATAATAAATGGTCACATAGCAATATTTCGCACCGTAAATGCCATCAACTCTGGCTGAGTGTGAACCCCTCAGTTGGAATTATTGGTCCAAAGTACCATGAGATGGTGTTTCCTACTATTTCAGCGGAGTAACTCCGGAAAGTTCCAAAGTTACCAAAGCTCTGACAATACTCCGTGCGGAGTCTGCGGAGGTTCTACTTCTTTCTCCGACTCTCCAAGTACGGAGTGCAAGCGCCAAGAGCCAGTAAGTCGATATCCTCTCCTAATGGTATTTCTTCCGACTAACTCTTTAACTTAGCATGTAAGCAATGGTTTGCTCAATATTTCGCACCGAAAACATTCATCGACTCTGGCCGGCATTTGAACCTGAATGTTAGAACTATTGGCCGAAAGAAATAACAATCTTCATCTTAGGTGCCTCTTAAATACTGCATTCCGCTATTTCAGGGGAGAGACTCAAGAATGTACCAACGTGACCCAAGCTCCGGCAATACTCCGTGCCAAATCTGCGGCACTTCATCTTCCTCTGACAGTTCAAGTCCGCAATGCAAGCGGCAAGACCACGTAAGTAGACGTTTTCTTTATCGGTCTCTTCCGTCGTGAAGCTTTAAAACAAATAATAAATACTTTAGCGGAAAAAACGTCAAGTGGGGTTCTAGGAATTTCAGATGACACACAATCGTCGACAGTCTGGTGGTCGAATTTTCACACCATAAACGCCCGTTGGCAGTGTCCGAGAACGAAATCGAATCTGGAGATCTGTATTCTTACAAAATAACAACTACTAGACAACAGCCCCCAAATAAATAGTGTATTCTTGTTTTCTATTTCTGCGGAGAGAAAACAGAGGGTACCAGAGTCGCCACCGGTCCGTCGAAATCGCGCGCAGAATCTGCGACAATGCGAGATCTTCCATTGACCGTTCAAATACCCAGCAGCAATAAGTGCAAGGGGGTGTACGTTTCTATACGGAACTCTCAACTGATGCATTTTAACCAAACTATGAATATGTTCAAAAACAGCTTGATTCAGTAGGACTGTTCTCCGCCCAACTTTGCGAATTTAATTGTGGGGTGTGCTTCGCTATATCAGGCGCGAGAAGCCCCAAGGTTCCGACTAATCGTCCGTGCGGTGTCTGCTGTAATGCAGGCCAGTGGCGTAACGTTCGGGCCAGCAATGCGCATGGGTCGAGGGAAAAGAGGGTCTTTTTTATGCGATCGTAAGAAACATTAATTACTTGATACTTTCTCTGATGTTTTGCGAGTACTTAGTTGATACAATGAGATTAAAAACGGCATCTTCCAGATCGTATTGTTCCGCTTCGGTAGTTTATGTAATCCTGTTTTTAAATCAATAAAGAAAAATTCATTTACTTATGAATTCGAATTTGTTAACGGATATTTAAATTATTCAAGGGACTAACAGTACTTGTGTTTACTTTACACTTTTACAATGAGGCGCAGATAAAAGTTTTGGGCCCGCACTCATTTCGTTACCCTAAAGATGCTGACCATCAGTGGGCGATCAAGTACATGGAACACGTGCCACGAGCAAGAACATGGCCTATTTCTGCAATAATACTTTTTTAAAGTGTTTCTTGGTATATATCACAAACATTCTCATGATCCTGTAAATGATTTCATCGTCTCAGACTTATCTTGCATGCAGGGTTGCCTCTTCACAGTTGCTTACAAACACCATGCGGTGACCCCATTCGTATGTTCCATACAATTTCAGCAGCCTATATTATATATTATATTATTCTCTCTCCACTTTTTGCGAGAAAACGTTTCCTCACATGAGGAGGACGATAAAATGCCAAGCTGATTACCCAACAGTTTACCTTTTTAACACATTTAGGTCATACCCCCCCCCGTATTTTCTTGCCCCAAATTGTAATACTTTTGTCCCATTTTCTTGTCCCTATCGAGCAACTTCCAGAACGTTTCATTTTCTATTTAATTAATCGTGCAAAGAGCTGGATATGTGTTTTTGAGATGTGTTTTATGAATCTAACTTTCGCTTTTAATTTATGGTATACAGAATTTTTAAGGAGAAGGCTTATTTATAAATATAGAAGATAATTAAAATCCTGTTATTTTGCTGCGATGAAAGAGAAACAGGCAATTTTAACAATAGCAAACAAAAAAAGTTTAAAAAAGTCTTTCACTTGTTCAATAATTACAATAACCATTTCTATTTTATTCTTCCTGAATAGAGATAATGTAATATTTGCAACAACTTGATAGACGTCGAAGGTAATGAAACACTAGCAACAATGCGCCTGCCTCCCTCACCCTTTTATTTGTTTAAACATGGCCTATGGCCATCTGCAGCCCCGGCAGACAAATACAATAGATACAGAATATTTATAAAATATTGTATGATACATCATTTATCAAATTGTACTCCAAGGTACCTGACAGTTTTGTTGAGAGAAAGCCAAATGTTTTGTGATCGATGAGTGAAATTGGAGGGATGTCTGGTGTACAGAGGGCAACATCATACGTACTCACGATAATAACAGTTATTATTGCCTCATCAGTGTACAAGGAACTCTACTGAAAATATCATTAATATCTTGGATAAGCAAAGATACAGCTTTAATATTGATAGGCCAACTTTGAACCAAGAATATGCGCGATAATTAAAGGATATTGTCGGAATCTTAGAACCTGTGACGCCATAACTAGTATACGGTTAAGCAATCCTCCATATGTAGGTGGACACAGTATGATTTACTTGCAAAGTAATTTTTGCTACATAGTTATCGTAATATCACAAAATTATCCCATCCCATCCAAAAATTCACATTTCTACATTTTTTTTAATTTTACATGAATAATTCTTCTAATTCTTCAAAATTAATTCAGTAATTTACCCCCAAAAAACGTCCTTATCTCTGAAACTGCCGTAAATAAAACGCTACTGAACATCCTATCCAACCGAAGTATTAAATATAATTTTAAAAAATAGAAAAATTGCCGACATACCCACATGGATGGCCGAAGAAACTAAGAGCGTGTACCGAATCAAAGTTTTAGTTCGAACGGTCGCGGGTTCGAGTCCCACCTTGGGGATGATTGTTTGTTTGTTCCTTTTCTCTCATGTATGTGTTGTCGCGGTGACCTTGGCGTTCTGCTGACCCCAGATCAGAGGAGCCCGAAATTGTGTTGGTGTCAAGCAAATGGTCGAATATGCGTCCCGTCGGGGCGTAAAGGGTAACCGCCTGTCGGCTGGATAAAAAGCCATAGGGGAAAAAAACAGAATACGAAATTGAATGATTTTATTAATATATGTATATTTTTCTGAAAAAGAGGCTGATCACTCGAGAAAAATCAAAGTTTCTTTATTTCTCTCAAAGAGGTGCTTGCTGGTTACGATTGTGCTGATGTTTCAGAGGAGGTCTGCATCTTCAGTAAGAATATGCACGAAACACAAAGTCGAAGATTTCTGCCAGGAGTTCAATCTACGGACTTGTGATGCCTCCACGAGTACGCTATCATTCTGTCCTCCACAGCGACAGCCGCAGAACAGTCAAGTGTGTAAACAACAGTATAATTAGTGTACCAACACTGTATACATTTCAACAAAGGAATATTATGCCCCAGACACATTGAAAGTTTCCAAATAATTCTATCCAAAAAGAATCCTAAAAGTAATTTTGAATTGTGCAAAAAAGTATTTCCCTTTTTTGATATTATATGTAAATAAAAATACTTGTTTCCTAAGAAAAATTCAAACTTCATGAAATTGAAAAGTTCCTTCCTTATCTTCGAAGATGTGTATGCTTACAATGATTATTACTTGCCCTTATTTTACGATTGTATTTCAGACGAGACGGACCATAAGAATATGCCTCAAATCTGATGCCACCACCAGTACACAATCTCTCTGTTCTTCTCAGCCTCAATACAAGCAGGTAATGTACTGACAAATATTATTTTAATCATCACCAATTAAACTTGTTCTAATATGGGCATATGAATACATTTTTCTGTGAAATGCAATACAACAATCGGTAGGTGCACATTTGGAATGTAATTTCATCTTTTTTAGATGAGAAAAGGTTTTGCATTATTTTGAGTAGAATTTTGTCGAACCCTCGACACACTATTCAGGAAATACAACTCAATGCTTGCAACGGAAAGCATGCTACGTATTTGACCTAAAATTCTCCATAAGGAATCCTGCATATGGTAGTTATAATACTATAAAAATGTAGTGGTTTGCATTTTTTGTAGTGTTCAAGAAAACTAAACATCCCACTATTTCCTTTCTCTTCGATGAAAGTTTGATGATTTCCTCGTGTTGTTGATGGTTTCAGAAGGGAACTCAATCATCTGTACGAATATGCTCTAGAATTAGACAGAATGAATATCAATCACCAACCTGTGACGCTTCCACCAGCATCCAACCATATAATGCCCCCGGAACACAGCCGCAGTACCCAGAGGTAAAATGACATTAACGTAGTTTAGCAAGCACGTCGTAGATTATATGTTTAGAGTATTTTTGATAATCAACGCCCTTGTCACTGAGGTTGCGCAAGGATTGCTTTAAAAATGACATGACTGAAAAATTGTAAAATAACATGTATCATAATAAAACACCATTACAGTCTTTAATCACTTATTGGAACCATGTTTAAAATATAACTTTTTTGAAACAGGTTCGTTAAATAGATTGGTACATACTAATTAACAAATTAACCGTGAACTATAATCAATCACAGTTACCATAGTGATGGCTTTTGATGGTACAACCACACCACCCATGTGAACAAGCTGTGTTCCGATCTAGATTCTCAATAACTGACCACCAGCAATCAAGTTATTGAAAAAGTAGAACAACTTAATTTGAAGTTATACATTGAATTTATTGATTTTAATTTATTACAAAAAGAAACATGATTCAGTTGAACAACGTTACATCATAGAATTCCAAATAAGTATATGAACATCCTTAAGATATAGTACGCAATCGGCTAGAAAATAATTAAAACAGAGATCTTGGATATAAATTCAAAATACGAGGAAATTCCTAATAAGAGAAGTTAAACAAGAAGATCTATTTCTGCCAACATTTTCTCTGCTGTAGTGGAAGCAATATTTCGTAATTTAGACTTAATGGAGATTTTAGAAAAAAAATTATTATTATGAATGGAAAGATGTTATAACAACTGCGTTACGAATATGATATTGTAATATTTGCAAAATCAGAAAAAGGATTGGAATTAACGATGCAAGTCTTATGAAACCATAGTAAATCAACGGGTCTAACCATGAACGAAAGTAAAACTCTGATGATGACTAATCATGAAGAGGAAGATGTGATGATAATCCAAGTAAATAATGCAGTAAGTCTATAAATATGTTTACGTAGGTCGGATGGTTCCTTTGCAAATTAGATCAGATGAGGAAGTACCAAGATGAATTACCATGTCCTGGAATAAATTTTGGACACTTTCCTTCTTACTTGAAGACTAACTACAATTAAAAATGGGAGTGAAAAACTCTGTACTGGAGAGCTTTGTTCTTCCAGTATTGTTAGGCCGAGCATAAACTTGATTTCTGGCAGAAAAACAAAAGAAGCTCCATACCTGTCAAAGAAAAAATGGAAAGACAGATATTATACACACACGTTGAACAAAAAAGGAACGAAACAGTAAAAAACAAATGATATGATGCTATAATAATGGACAAGAAACTAAAATGGAAGTGTAAAAGTCACGTAACCAGGATGGATACAACTAGATGACCACAAATCACTACCTGGTATCTGCGTGTAAGGAAAAGAAGCAAGGGAAGGCGGAAGATAAAATAGTGCAAAGAGATGCAGTACACAACAGAAACAAAATGGACAAGAGTAGCTCAAGAGAGATTAGGGCGGATGAGAAAAGAAGAATTATAGGTACGAAATTGGGCATGATGACTTTGTGTTGTGTTATGTTGTTATTTGTAATGCAGATACTAAGAAAGAACGATATGTGAAAATTGTTAATTACACTTATGTTTAGAGTTAGTAGTTTGTAGTCGGTGATAGGATAAAGAATTTTAGTAGAATAACTGTGACTGTAACGTACTAAATAGGTAAAGAACTGTGATAGGACAAAGAGTCTGTGAAAACTTCGAACGTACCAGCGTAACGCTATATGTAAACTGTGCTGAATAGTTTAATGAAATGTTATCCTAGCATCGGAAGTAGCTAATCTGATTCACACTCTGCAGCTGTGCCTGATACTCCACGAGGCCTTTGCCCACAAGGAATTGAATGGGCTATATGAGATGATGATGATGATGATGATGATGATGATGATGATAATAACAACAACTTCCCATCAAACAGGATACGGGGTGCAGATTACCGGCGTTGGAGTTCAACATTTTATAACTTCAAGAATGTACATTTTTATTTAAAATCAATTGATCTATGCCTCTGAAAATAATATTTTAACCTAAGATTCAATTTATAAAGTGTAGAGTTTCATCGTCATAACTAGACGGGAGAAACACAAGTTTTCGCATTTCTGAAAATGAAGCAAATTGAAAATGTATCACTTGTAAAAAGTATGATTAAATGTGAATGTCGAATGTAATTTTAAGACTTTAACATCCTTTCAAAATTTCCATTTTTTCACAGAATCCGTACGCGAGACAATCAACTCCAGGCTATAATAACCGCTTCTACAATGCACCCTGTCCCAATGATCCATACGCTCAACAAATGGTAAATACAATCTAAGTTCAATGCTTTGAAATATAAATTTAAATTAGACTAACTCCTATTCATTTGAGGAGTGATAACAGAAATAGAATTAAAGCATATCGAATATTTTTTTTATTTTATAATTACTTTTAATAATATTTATGATGAACATAATGTTCTAAGATAAGTTAGGGGGACTGGTACGTGCCGGGAAATAATTTTCAAATGTTGAAAAATTCTTTACTTGTTACTGTACGAATCGAAAGATGCCCTATTGCCTACCGTACGTAACTGAATTTTTATCTCCTTGGTAGTCGATGACTATGAGTGACTAAAATTCTCACATCCCCTAGACCCCATTTCATCTCATATAATTTTCCACCCGAAGGCGCTAATCAGTAAAATGCAAATTATTTACTAATATCAAGGAACAAAGACACGTTCATTTTATAAGAACTGATGACAAAATTACGGCTTACAAGATTGAACTTCCTCAAACAATATTATTGTGCAGAAGCGAGTTTTACTACTGAGTCATATTACACAAATTGATAATGGAAAGAAAGAATAAGCACTGCAATTAGAATTGATGGCAGTCAAACGCTCCCGTTCGCAGTCTCGCAAAATAGGAAACCCCAGGCAAGCTGCAAATTAAAAGGTGCAAGATTTCAATATGACTACATGTGTGAAATACATTGCGCTATTCGAAAGGAATCATACACTCAATTCCGCCTCTTAGCCTACTCCCATTAAGCAAACCAAAGACTCGCACCTTATACTTGGATTTAAACACTAACTCCACTAAACGTAAATCAGCTGTTGTAGTGTCGTCCAATCGGGAGGTTGCACGTCACCGTACACCACTGTACACCATACACACCACTGTAGTGATATGTAAGCTCGCGATTGGATGGTACCGTAAAAGCTGGCGACCTGCCAAGTGCAGCTCTAAATAAATCGAAGTATAGTGCACTTGCTGCTCGCTGGCTTTGTGAGGCGGACGACGCTTCAGTGGGCGTGGCTACCAACGCTGCTTCCAAAACGAGCAATCAACAGCAGTCCTCCACGCTGCAGCTCACACATGCTCGGTCCCAAGGAAAAGTTGAGATTCAATAATACTCTACGCGGGACACTAAACAAAGAAAATAGAATAACGTCGTAAACTGCATTGCTAACAAATCAAATACCGGTATAGTTTTTTCTTATTTCATCAGTATTTCTATATCTATCGATCTATTATCTATATATCGATGAGAACGTCAGACTGGCAACTTTATCTGATTTTGTCTTTAAGCAGCCCTATAATTCTTTGTTACAACGGATGTGGGCAATACATTCTCAATGTTTAATGAAGAAATTATAATAAATGAAATGAACCCTTCGAAATAAAGTACGTATGCATTACAGTAATGAAGCCTATTCGCCTATTCTTGTTTTCGGTTTGCCTAAATATTCACAAAGCAAACTCACATATTTTATTTAGGAAGTAAAACTCGGCTCCTACACTAAACATACGACCATGGCTGTTTGGAAATAAACAAAAACTAATAAATAAGTAAATAAGTAAAGTTAGTAAATAATTATCATCTGTGCATTGTGATATGCTGCATAGCGCCGCCAGCCACCCCGGCCGGCCGAATGCAAGTCTAGATGTTCAATGGCGGCCCAGAGGTCCACACCTTCGGTCAAGATACACGAGAGAGCGCCCAAGGAGTGCTGCGAGCGGCCCCCGCGGCCCCCTTGCCGGTCCCCGCCCAGAGCTTCTCGTCCCGCGCCCCGCCCCGCGCCCCGCTCCGCGCCCCGCTCCGGGTCCCGGCAGCCAGGGTTAAATGCCAGGGTGAAAGATCTTAGCGACGCCTTCACAGGCGCTCAGTTCCAGCCATGACCACTGGCAGGATTACCATTGCCTCTTTAGCCACTCCGACCAGACGTCCTAGCGTTCCAGTTCCGACGGGGGCTTCTTCTTCTTCTTTTTTTCATTAGCTACACAGCATTCACTAACTTTACCACGTGGAGAATAATTCAAACGACTCCTCACATCAATTGTTACCCGCGGTTTCTCCAATCATTTCCAAGCGACGGCTGGAGTAGCACCTTCATAAACGGGCCACGGAATGCGCGCGATCTTCCCTGCCTCATCCATATGTCCTTCTCTCCCCTTAAACACACATCTAGAGTTATATTCACTATACTACCACGCAATTAGAGCTCGGCCCTAGCGATTCCCCTACTGTGGAAAAATCATCCTGAAGCGGGAAAACCCGAAAGTCGGCATGTTGGTCGACGCCAAATATCTCGGTCCAGCTGAAGAGGAACACCGTCACCTTCCGGGATATACTTGAACTACGGAACTAAAGATCATAGCCGTTAATGCGCCCGGAAACAAAAAAATAAAAACGAGTTTGGGAAATAGTCTCACCCAAGATTTCCGACGCAATCGTTGAGGTTGCACACCACGCGAGCGAATTTGAACAAATCCGAAAAGCGCGGGCAGGAGCGGAGAAACATAAGCGTTACACAGAACTCAGAAGTACAGAGAAATTAGGTAGTAATAAAAAATATTTTCCCTTTTGCAAAATGTGGCAACTTCTACAGCTGGCTACAACTCATATGTGTATTAAAATAGTTTAAGTTAGGTTGTCAAAAATTCGCCCATTAGATGTGGTCAATTTCATTTTCACAATTAACAAACAGAAGTTTCCATTTCAGAAGTCTTCTGCAACATTAAACATTTATTTTATACACTACTCTATGAGTATTTGTCCATTACAACAGAGTATTATTAACTTCATATAAGCGGCAATGTTAATATGATAGAATAATTTTTTTAAACCATATACCAAGTATTTTATACGGCTATTAGGCACAGAAATTAAAATATTCTTTCAATATGAAACTTTATGATAGACTATGTAAATTAAAAAGGTTATCTAATTTTCTCTTTAAAATTGTTTTAAATGTACGTAGTTTAATATGTTTAATTGAAATATATCTCTTCGATGTGACAAAAGATTCAAGATTTCGTCTGATTCATCATTATCTTTACACAGGAAAATCTTATTTTGTTAAAATTTGTCACCTTAAAAAAACGCACCCTCTCCTAGCACAATTTTTTATTAAGCCTATAAGTATACAGTATTTATCAGTCTCTTTAGTCTAGTGATAATACATTTTACTGACTATTCTCTACTTTTCGCAATACCTTCATCTTGTGAGAAATAAATTATTACATAAAAATACCTTTGCTTGAAATAGGACTACGTACATTGTACCTACAACTCTCCTGTTTTGGCTGAGCGTATCAGACGGGGGCCACTAAATCCTTATCAGTCGACAGGCATTTTGAATGACTTTTCGCGTTTTTTGTTGCGTTACGTCAATATAAAAGTATATTATTACGATAGGGAGTTACTTGTAGGTAATATTAACAGAAATAGCACGGTTTTTATTGTTTCGTCTGAAATGGCTCAATAAGTATAATGTTTTACGATTAGGATATGAGTTTAAGGATATGAGATATTTGAGTTTCGGAAGATCACAGCGACTGGACAATATGTCGTGATCCCAGTTGTTCTCATAAAGAGTTTGACCAAAGTTGCACGCGTCACCCTATCTTCTTGTTAGCAGAACTCCATGGAGGCCGGGGCCATATACCATCGGCAGTACACCGTGCGAGACGTACGAGTACCAACCTCCAGACAAACGAAGAAAGAAACACAGAAAAAAGTAAGTCACGAATTTCCTACAACAAGATTCCACATATATGTACAAATTTTAAGTCAAACTTTGCATCTCAAAACAAGGGGAGGGCTATCTGCTAAAGCGTGAAAAAATGTATTAATTCATTTAATCTTCAATTATTTATCATACCCTGGCAGATAATCATGGTGTTTAAATAAAAAAACTGCTATAATTTTAAAAGATATTTTTATGTGTAAATTATGGTATATGACTTTTCCTGTTTCCTTGAAAAATGCATTATGCTAAACCTGTTTACACGAAACAAACTACTTACATGAGAGTGAATAGGTATTGCCAAATTACAATGGGTGGACAAATTATTATACTCAAACTCAAAATGCCATTTTTTGTCATTTTGCAATTTAATTTAATTAATATTTTATCTATTGACGTTATTTTGTAAATAAATGTATTTATTAATATTTTTGAGTTAGGCAACACTTGTCAACATGCCACATAACTCTTCCATGACCATTATTACATAGTGTGTTCACGTGTCGCGTGATTTCTAATAGAAGTTATTTTGATATATTGGTTCTCTTCTGTATTGTTATTCTGGTAAGCATGTGCATTTCATGGAATCATACCACAGAGAATGTATTTTCGATATTTACCACAATTTAATATATTATTTGATTTTTTAATATCAAAAATATGCCCTAAATGAATGTGAACCTAAAGAAATTGTTTCAGTGGTCATCGGTAAATGTTTTGATCTCACACCTTGAAAAAAGGACGAATAGTTGATTCACCATTATAAGTACACACAAAGAGATTTCTAATTGGGAAGGAGTTTCGCAGTCAACAGTTCGAAATATCAAAAGAAAGCTTCAGGTCATTATCCATTTACGAAGGAAAAGAGTAGAAAATTGTGAAAGAAAATATAACTTCATCAACAACAGACTGCGCAAATACGTTGCACTGCAATAGAAAACCTTCGAAAATCACAAAAATGTGTAAACATTATTCCTAAAAGATGCTGGAGTGCATCTCTCTGAGTGAACTCCCACAAGAAGGTGTATAGAAATGGATCTGAAGTGTGACGACCTGTGAGAAAATCCAAATGCACGCCCGAAATTATGTAAAATAGGTTAAATTTTGCTAAAAAGTAATGTAATTCAATCGAAGAAGATTGGATCAAGGTTTGCAAAGTCTTCAAAAAATTAAAACAGCCAACCAGATCAAAATCTTCTAAAAATATTATTGAGCAGATTTGCTTCTCAGACTAGTCAATCCAGATCTTGCAAGACAAGACACAGTTCATTCAACGCAGGTGTAATGAGAAGTATAATAATAAATTTATTGTGGAAGGAATAAATTTTCCTCCTTCTGTTCTGATATGGTCGGTTATTATCTGCCAAGGCACAGGAAGGATATAATTTGTCCAAAGAAACATGCGTCAGGACCAATACATGGAGGTGCTCCAATGTTTACCAATACAGGAAAATCTCATTCCTCAGGTGAAAAAATAGTTCCCGAACCACTTTGTGTTCATGCACGGTTCGACTTCTTGTCATAAAGCACTAAAAATAAAATTTTCTCAAGACAAACAGAATTTAAAATCGTAGGCTCGCCTGGGAACTCACCGAACACGAATTCAGTAGAGAATGTTTGGGAGGAATGAAAACAAGATAAATCGAAGAACAAGATAAATTATTATAACTAACAAAGAACTTATCGTGAAAATCACTATGGTGTGGTAAAATTCTCCTCCATTGTCAAAAAGAGCAAGAAATTACGTCACTTGAGTATAGTAATTTGGCCACCCTCTGCACGTTCTCTGTTGAGTCCTGAAGCTTCTTCAACCCAGATCTCCAATTAGAGTACCAATGTAAGGTCCTCCGAGGCCAGCCAGAAATAACTGGAACTCCATATGTAGAGGTAAGGAAAGGTGTAATAACTGCCGGTCGGAAACGAACATCTGGAACAAACATAACATTTAGTAATTGCATGGTAATAATATAGATTCAAAATAAGTAGCAATTGTCGAGCAGGGCTGTTCCAGAGCACACCTAGTAATGCACTGACGTGAAAATGCCAATTTGTTCTTTACGGCTATGGTTAAACAATTTCATGATAATAAACGAATAAATACTAAGTATGTTAAATAAAGTGTGTTATTCTTCTTCAGAAGATGGCGCCAGGTCAGAGTTCGCCCAAAACGAATCGCCGCTTGCAAGTCTCAGGCCCCTACATTCTGGTGCCCTCATACAATCAGCGACTTGACTCACTGTCCGGTCCGCATGGTGCACAGCCAGGGGTAAGAAAATCTCAATTCCTACATTCTACTCAAAAATATTATCCAGAAGAAAAGGAAATTGAGGAATCAGCTCTATGACATTGTTACACTGAATTTCATACTGATAGGAATCGAGATTCTTCTGATTTCTTCGCTTTCCCCTAAGTTGTAGGGAACTTATTTTCGGCTATTAGATGATATCCATATAAACTCTGTAAGTCCAGGCTTGCGGCGCCAATACTGACAGAAACAGCAAGACGTAATGGTAAATGTAATGGTTTAGAAATGTGATAAACTGTTGACTCTTGGTCCCATGTAGTCGGTTTTCAGAGTCGCTTTGCAAGTGCGTAAAACGTGAACGTAATGTTTTATTGCATTTATTATTTCTCTTCTAAAGATTCCTTGGTTTGACACTAATAACCAACTTTACAAATATTACATCATTAAAAAGGTGTAACTTTCACTTGTACGTAAAACGTGCATTCGATCGTGGTCTCCTCCCGAACGTTTGATCACACATAAAGACGGCTCCAGGCATGTAACATTCGCCGAATAGCAAACTACTACTGCCTCGTTCGAATGTTCGTCGCTCGGCAAACCTATCCACAACCCTCGGGATTGGGCGAGCGGACGGTCGCTCCTCGCCGAATAGGGAAAGTGTGGAGCTGCCTTAACATGGAGCCGGTGCGCCCTAGGTCCTCACAACCGATTTTCCGCGCCGAGTGTTCTTAATACTGGACAGTGAAGAGGCGGGGCTGGAACGGGCAGCGGTCGGGAGCCGGAGCGAGGGCAGGGCTGGGAGAAGGGCGGAAGCTGTTCCGCCGACAGGGCCGCGAGCAGAGCCGGCAGAAGGGCGGGCGCCGGGAACGGCGTAGTTCTTTCGCCGTGCGAAGGAGCTGCGTCTGGAGATCTGCCCCGCGGACGCCGGCGTCGGGGCGCCGCCGCAGGGCCGCGTCGCAACCGGACAAGCGTAGCGCTTGCGTCGCGCTTTCGACGATTGACGAGCGCCAGCTGGTTGGAGCGTGCGTGCGCCTGCCCCGCGCCCGCCCAACGCTCGCGCGCGCGCCGCCGCGCCGCTCCCGGCCCCGGCCCCCGCCGCGCGTCAGCCCCCGAGTGAGCCCACATTGCTCCCTCTCTCTCTCTCTCTCTCTCTCTCTCTCTCTCTCTCTCTCTCTCTCTCTCAGGTTACAATATGAAAATCGTAATATTTATCCACTTACTAAAAATTCCAAAGTAGTACAATTTTCATTTAAATTTGTTTACTCGTTCTGCGAAAGGTTACATTCTTATGGTGATATTAGTTAATAGGAGGCCATAAATTATTTATAATATTATTCAAATATCGGAATTGTGAAAGTTGTAAATACTCAGCCTTGGATTATTAGAACCCTTGTTTTCTAATAAATCGTATTACAAACTGAGCTCAGTCTACATAACCAAAGTGGTAAAAACAAATATTTTTTTTAGTATTAGTTCTTTTTGCGGATCTCACACCCAAACAATCATAACCAGTGAGGCGTCAAAACAAAAATAATTTCACGAATAGGTCACAAATGGCGCTTTCACTTTAAAGATTTGTGGAAAAAGTCAGATGTAAATGCACCGTGATTAGCATTGCCGGCGTAACTTGAAAATTGTACGTCGCGGGACCTTGCAAGTGTAGTTTTCAAGCGTTGAGCTCTGTTGTCCACGGACCACAATCTACAAAATAAGAAACTTATTGCACTTTGGAAGGCTTGGTTCTCAAGAACACACCAGCAGCTAATGTATGTTTCCCGTCAATTTATGGGGGGAGAAAGAGGGCGTTTTTCGAAATGCGAAAAGATCTTGTACTAGTACACACGATTATATCATTCCTCTCTGCGTTTCGCTCTTCACTTCTTAAGGTGCCCTAAGCACGACCTCACAACAAGTCTCATAATAATATTGAAATCAGTAGTCTGAAACCTAAATTACCATGAAATAAATTTCAATCACATTTAATCAACCGTAACTGTATTATCTCAGATTTGCAATGTGAATTAAATCGATTACAAGTTAGTATCATTAATAAAGTATTATAATTATTTTTACGAACGTGTTTTTATGAAATTTGTAGAATTTATTATTAAAACGTTTGGCGCCGAACCGCAGACCGCTAACTTGCCCCAGCACATACTTAGTCTGCACATATTTCAATCCACCGCTTCTTTTACCCATGGATGTCTCTGCATATGCCTCAACCTCCCTGATTTACTGTGTGTCGGCCTCTCTCTCTCTCACACAAGGTTTTTTCTCCGTCAGTCACGCTGTCGCTTTCGCCGACTCTTCGTTTTCCTTTCTCTGTGTCCCTTGTTTGATGCTAAAGCTACTCGCAAGACGGCCTGTAGCCTGATATTCGCGAACGCGCAGAACTGCCGCAGCCTCTCCAGACTTTAGGTTGCCATGTGGGGATAAGGGATGAATGCATCGCCAGGCCTTCGGGAAAGAGACCTACAGAGAAATGTAATAAGAATTTATTCTGAGCAATGGATACTAATTCACCGACTGATGTACTTACCGAGCGAGTTTCACCAAAACGATTCAAGGATCTTCGACAAAAATGCATACGTTATCATTTGCCACAGAGATTGATCTACGTCTTCAAGGCATTTGATTTGCTAAAGCCCTCTAATCAACATTCCAAGAGGAAATTGTACGTAGAGTAATCAGTCCGTGGGGTTTGAGTGTATCACGCGCCCGATATTAACGTGAACGTGAGTTATGTAACCCTGCCGATGAAACCCAGACGCTCTGTCCTCCACGACATCTAAACGGCGCCACCCACAGCGCCTCCGCTGCGACCAGCCGAATGATAACTCCTAAATTATATCATCTATAAGTTTTCCTATCTATTTTATTCCGCTTCCTCACTCCAAGTACTGCTTTGTAACTTCAAAACAAATAAACGTAAAATATCAAATAAAATGTTATTTCCAACTAAACTTATTATCCTAATAATTTAATGTGTTATTTCCGAAAACTCTGAGAGCGTATTGCGTAATATTATTTTGTAAGAACTTACTGGAAACTTCCAGAATATGTAAACACGTGATTAAATCTATATAATCAAAAGAGTATGACTTCCGAACACAATTAGATCGTTGGCCAGCACTGATTTCACATCTCTCGGCCACTGTATATCTCTCTTCTGGAAATTAAACGTCCTCAACCAGATATCTCTCACCAGTGGGACACCCCCCAGCCGGGAAAACCTCTTAAGCTCCTAAGCGGTCTCCCTGCATGAGTTAGTGTAGTGCAAGTTAGTGTTAAGTGTGTGTAAGTGAGGGATGAGGATGAAATAAGAGGAAGAAAAAGATCGCGCGTGGTCCGTTTGTTAGGGTTCTGCTCCGGAATTCGCCTGGTGTTGATAGGAGAAAGGTAGAATTATCCTCCATTCGACCTAACTGACAAGCTAGTGTCGAAAATCTTGCCACTGTCGGGACTTGAACCTAGGACCTGCCGGTCAGTGGCACTCAGTGCGTCAGGTGATGCCCTGAGCCACCTCCCCCTGAAATCTGAAGGCGTCGTCGCGTTGTGCACATGTGGCGCCGCGCCACCAGAGCCGCTCCCACTCCGTGTGCGTCGTCCCCGCCCTCCCGGGCTGCGGCGGCGGGGCGGATCTGCCTGCAGCACCGACCGATTGCGGCTCCCGCCTGCGCCAGTTCTTCACTGCACCGGACCCCAGCTGAGGCGCCGCGCACGCCAGCGGCAGACCCTCGCAAAATGACTGTTACTCGGTACCAATGGCCCAGCCGGAATTTGGTTTAGGGACGGGGGTCGAGAGGACTTCTTTGGGGAGTAAGCTGACGAAGTAGTCGGGTTATACAGACTCAGAAAACGACGGGAACATCACATATTTCAATTATTCTTATATACTTGCTCAAAGCGGAAATCTAATTTGAACATAAATCGCGATCCCGGCAAACGTAAGATCCGCAGTATTACATTGCGTAACACGGAATCTTGTCTATTACAGAAAAAAGACTGGTCCCTTGAGTTTCTGCATTGAGAAAGGTTTACTGTGTGTAATATATAAAGAGTGTTCAGGAAGAAAACAAGGAAACTTTGAAAATAATCTCGTAAGACACTTTAAGCTTATTTTGTCTAACAAACGTCTTCGAGAATGACTGAGCCACAATAAGCACTCAAACGTTGGTTTGAAAAAATACTATCTACGCAAATATTTGCATTTCAGAAACATATAAGTATGTAAATTGTTTATTACTTGCGTCGCAAAATGTCACAGATCTGGGTGTACTAGCCTGCGAAGACTTCAAGCAATATGTCATATTTTACTGAAATTTTGTAGGAATTACTATCTCACGGGAGAAGAAGTACACGCTAACATGCTATTATAGGTCCATTTATTCAGTATTAACTTTGAATACAATTGTTAAGTTAATTAAACTGTAGCCACAGCGCAGTGACATTGCCTTTTAAATATTTCATGGTTTTGTAATATTGAGCAAGTGTATAATTATATTTTGATTTTTAGTTTATAGTTCATGAGAGACAGAGATTATTTCCATTACGTTCTTAATGATCTGAATTAGAAGAAAAAGAAAGCGTGGTTTAATGCGATGAAAAGTGTATTTGTGTTTGAAGAACCTAACGTATTGTGATAATGATTGATGACATTGAGATGAAATAAGAAATGGATACGAAAGGAAAAAGGAAATAATATGAGAAGTAAAAAGAATATTATGGAAAGGGGATGGTATGAACCAATATAGTATTGCCAAACAGCCATTCTACCACCTAACTGACTAATGCAACATTTTGCTCATAAACATATGTCGAATAGTTTTATAATAAAATTCACGTTTCATTTACGACCATAGCTTTCCCTATCGGTTTGTATGTGACATTTCAGCTACAATTTGTCAAATATTTAGTGTCATTAATACGCAGGAGACAAATACATTTCTCAGTATCTCACGCTAAAATGTCTGTAAATCTAACTGAATGGAGAAATGACGGAATTGAGAGAGCAATGTGGAGCCACAAATTTCACTATCTTATGGAATATAATGCATAAAAAAGTATCAAAGGAAACAAATAGATTAACTAGTAGTTGAACAATACATGATTGTCACAAATGTATTTAGTGGTTGAATATTTTATTCCAAATACTGAAAGCCTATCAGAGCACCGACATTGAACTTCCTAAGAGTCTGCTCACTAGGACATATTTCCCAGAGTGGTCACTTAGGGCATCACTTTTTCCACAAGAGCAATCTCACTCGCAAGTGTGATCCTATGTTATGCTATTTTAAGATCGGTCGACTTCCTAATGACATGGCTTGCTCGCACCCAGAATCAGCGCTAATTCTCCCGGTGCGAGTTGCAAAGACAAGCACTCCCCGAAACGTTGCGCGGTCAACCGGCCTGCCAGGACAAGCAGAAGCAAACTCGCGCAAACGTCTCCTTCCCGACGGCGAACCTCCACTCAGCGAGTCAGTCACAGGTACTAATCGATTACTCATCCATTAAGAAAGAAAATAAAAACACTGACTACGCTGAAAATGCGTGAACCATAAAAAAACTTTAAGACCTTAGTGTACGTCATACTGAATATCAAATGTACTTTCAGTGTTATGCCTAGAATGCTCAGTCATCTTGCATATAAAAATATGACGAATAGTTTTATAATTCCATGCACGATTCATTAATGTTCAAAGTGTACCCCTATCGGGTTTTATGTGACATGTCAGCGACAATTTTTCAAATATTTAGTGCCATTAATGTGAGGGAGACAAACACAGCGAAATTTCGGTATCCCACGTTTAAATATCTGTAAAATAGTTCAATAGATCAATAGATATACTCTGGAGTTTAATAGATACATTTCGGATTTCAAGTAAAATATACATAAATTGGTTGGATAGAGCACACACATTGCATTCCATAATTTATTATTTAGAGAAAACCTAGCTTCCAAGTTTGTAAAGATGGAGGTACGTATGGAATGACAATGTTCGCTTTCTGAAAAGCATACGGTGAAAAAAGTTGAGCGTGAACGGTGTAGGAAGTTTAAAGAAGCCTGAGCCGATGTTCACGATAAAGGGCGACAAGGAGGCAAGTCCGTCGCAACAGAATTCCTCTTACATAGACATACAATCATCAACAAACGATCAAGAACAGAAAAGTTACGGCTACAGTGTTTCAGGACCAAAAGAGTGTTGCTTATAGAAATCATGCAACAGGGGGGCTACGATCAATGAAGCTGTTTATTGTCAGATTTTACAAAGATAGCGGAGAACCATTCAAAACAAAAGAAGCAGCATGCTGACGTCTGGAGTTCTGGTTCACGACAATACCTGCTCTCACAGTGTTCTGTAACCCAACTTCTTGAATTTCGATGGAAGTTTTGAACGAACATCCGGCGTATATCCCCGATTTAGCACCAAGTGATTTCTATCTCTTTCCTGAACTGAAAACCGGCTTGGAGGGCAGAGCTTCCAGATTATAGAGGAACATCGCCAAGGACCATCTCAACTCACTGGTGGCAATATTCAATGCAGGGGGATTGCAAAGCTCGTCCACAGACATGGCAAATGCCTAAATATTTACGGTGATTATGTGGAAGAGGAATCATGTTCGTGCTTATCATTGGTAATAACTTCATTTTGTTATTTCCAATTGTGTTTTTATGAGCTCTCAGAAGTTGAAAACAACAGCTCTCAAAATTTAAACCCGGAAAACTGAACTACGGATCCTGATATTTTGACAAAGTTGAATACTTTCAATTTCCCTCTTGCATTATATTTAAAATAAAAATATTTGGGATATAGGTTTTTGAGCAATTAAACCATTTAACCAGTCTCACCGAAAACATCGAATTTTTTAAAAAATTATTTGTTGCTAGTTTGTTGTTGTTTTGTACATTTTTGAATGCTTATTTTCATTTTATAGAAACGAACTGTATACGTAGGTGTGTGTGTGTGTGTGTGTGTGAGTGCGTGTGTGTGTGTGTGTGTGTGTGTTAAAGGAGCTGAACTCTGACTACAACAATAGAGAATAGTTTCACTCATACATTCGCTCAAAAATAATATTGAATATCCCTTAATAAAAATGTTATTATAAGGAAGAATACGTAATAAAATCATATAATCGCAACTCCAAATCTGAACCACTGATTTTATTACAAATTGAAATATTCCACGAGAGGAGATATAAAAAATACAAACTTTTTCAAATAACGACCACTCCAATCTGCATAATTCAACAAGTGTCGTATCAATAGAATTGGTACGATCTGTACCCCGTCGTTACATAAAGATATTTTCTCTTTTCCACAACGTTTTAACCCCAATTGTGCACGCTTGCACTCCCTCCCAGGGCTTCGTGTGCCAACCGGCAGCTGTGCAGATGCCCTCGGTGCGGGTCGTTGATTGGGCCCTTCCTCCAGGGTGCCAAGTGAGCCCGGAGCAAGGGTAAGGTCGAGCACCGCCTGGCAACGTGCCCCGCCGCTGCTCCTCCCGGGCCCCCTCTGCCCGCCCCGCTCGCTCGCTCCCCCTCCCAGGCGCATAAAGTAGCCAAGGGTAAACGCACGAACGTTAAATGAATGTGTGAGTCGTGTAACATTTATTATAGTTAAAATACATTGCTTCTTATTTGTTCTATAACGTTTGAACCCTACGCTTTGGAGCTCTCAGCAGGTGATAAACAAAATTTAAGGTTCATAAAGTACATAAGAATGCTAGAAGATCATATAATGTGGCTATCCATGTAACTTATCATGTAACCATGTATGTTTTAACACACATATGTATATTTCTGCCACTGTCCACGCTTCATTGAGGAAAGGGGAAGAAGTCCGCCGACTCCTCACGCAGATATTGACTCATGAAACCATTGTCACCAGGCTGCTGGTGTCCCAAGAGAATAGGAGAGTGGTAGCCACCTACGCCGCAATAGTTTTAAAGAATCTTCGGGTAGAAGAACAACTGCGAAGGAGTATCCCGTGACATCAGTAGACATAAAGTGATAAGCCAATCTGCCTTTCCCGTGATGCAATGCCTGACGGCGGTTCCGCGGAAAGGGAATCGGAGGAATGGGAGGGGTTTTCAATGGATATGGCACAGGCTAGCTGTGAATCCCACACGCTGCTGAGTGCGGTCTCCGCAGTGTCTTCGAAAGTTTTCTCCCTGCCATCGTAAAAAAACGCATATATACTTTATGAATCTTCAATTTGTTTATCACCCGATGAGGATCCCAAATCATAAGTTCAAACGTGATTAATTGTAACTATAATAAATGTTATACAGCCGATCTGGGTAGCCGATATTGCTTAGGCAATAGTGCCGTGGCGGTCTTGGACCGAAAGATCGCGGGTTCGAGTCCCACCTCGGGCATGGTTGTGTTTGTGTATGTCTCTGTATATTTGAGATTGTCCATTTCATCCTTAATCATTATCATTTCACCCCATCCCCCATGGCTGACAGCCCTGCGTGTAAAAATGTATTCAATATGTATAGTTCTGATACCTCATAAAAATCACGAGTACCTACCCTCGATAATATAACTGAGCTTCAGTGGGTTGCGCATTCGCAAAGTCCAGACGAGGCCAATCCGCGAACAAAATAAAAATTTTATACAATTGTGTGTAAACATGATTCAAGCACAAACGCGCGGAATTTAATCTAAAGCAGACTGCTCCAAGTGAGTAGACCGCGAGTGAGAAAGCAGGAGCCGCAGCCGCAACTGCTACGGCTAGAGCATCTGCTGACCGCAGGCATAGCGCTATCGCGCCTCGTCTGCGCCCGCTGAAATCTAAGCTCTCAGTCTGTGGCTTCGCCCGTTAGCTGTCGCTGGCAGCCAGCATTGCCAGCCACACTGGTAGTGCTCAAAGAGCACGTACTTTCTCGCCTGTACTTTCACGCAAAATTCCGCGTTAAGTATTCAAATATTTGAAAAAATGCACACCACTTTATTTAAAAACCTATCTTTAAGAAACAGATTTAATTAAGAAAAAACCTCTATCTCCAGAATTGTAGTCTTTCAATTACTATGTGGCAAGAGTAAATTATGCGGTACTACAAAATGACACTACAGTTGCACGTACTAGTTACTTCCTTTTAATTATGAGTTGGGAGTACAATTTCGGTTTTGTGCCACCCCCTTCCCGATTTTCATGTTATCTTGGCAATAGATAACCAGCCGCCGGTAACTCTGATCCGTAGTTTTCAATGGTAACTCCGATCAGTTCCAGACGAATGCGGAATAGTACTATAGCAAAAGGACCACGAGCTTCAAGCATATTCTTTCATCTGTGTCTCGTTCTCAGCACTTACATGCACTAATTTTGGGAGTTATAGCTTATCCCTGCCGCGTGGTGCTTCGTTGAGGGAGATGCTTGTAGGGGGAAATCCCGCAAGCGGTCGGTGTTTTGTCCACCGTACCAGAGGCAGAGGAACGCCACGATTTCCCAAGATATAAAAGGCACTACATACGTGAATAATGACCATAGCAGTTGATGCGCCAAGAAACAAAATAATCAATCCAACCTTCCCGTCTGCCTATCGTCACCCAAGGGACCTACCAGGGCCTCCCACGGTAACTGCCTCTCCTCTGGGGACAAATCTACCGAATTTCAGTGCTCTCCGACCAAAATAGCCTCCACTTTACTATTATCACCAAAGCAGATCAAATGAGCAGAACGAAATATTATTTTTTGTTGAAATTCATACAGTAAAGTTTGGATAATACCTAATCCTTACAATTCTTTCAAAATGTTCTTCCTTATCCCACATTATCGAAAGAAAAAACAAATTCCATTTGAGCTAGCATTCTTTCACCTATTCTCCTTATATATGCTATTCTCCTTATATATGGGGGAAGGCACAGAGGCTCTCCTTCCCCTCAACATTTTGAATCCTTAGGCCAAAGCCTTACATATCAATCATTCAAACATTTACATCCATACAAACATTTTATTGTTATAAATGTGTTTAAGCCCTCATTTTCCCTGTTTTAATCCAATAATTTGGTGAAATGGTACGTGACATTTGGGAAAAGGGGCATTCAAACTCTGTGAATGATTCAACATAAATCCATTGCATTTAAATTAATCATTACAGTCAATTTCATTCTCCTTGCAGAATGTTTCGATTATTTATTAGTAAAATATGTCTTATGTAAATAAAAAAACTTTAATGTTAAAGGGGGACTAATGTGTGTGTATATATACACACACACAATTGCCCTCCCTGTTTTCGGTTGCGCATGTCCATTTAAATATTGTCTATCGAAATCTTACTCTCACATAAAATGTTGTTCTGCGTGTGCAGCGTTGCGGAATGTCATCTTCTCGTCATCTAGATTTCGAAATGCTGTTAACAACTTCCATGTTTTTCATTTCCAGGTATGTGCCAGCCGTGAAGAAGTTCTTCTAGCGATTTGTGAACCATCGACACGTACGTGATGCGAATGTCGGGGAAAACCCAGTATTGACAAATAGAACTCAAATTGCTGTTGGAGCTGCCAGATTTGTATGTATGTTTGCGCAACGAATACAAGTGATATGAGAAGAATATGAAAATATGAATAAAAATGTAAAAAAAAACAGCAATAAAGAATTACTTTTAATTTTTATTCTCTATTTTTATAAAGAAACCAAATTTAAAAAGAACTTTCACACGTTCTTTTGTATTTTCCGCATTTTAATCAGATATACCAAAGAAAAATATATATTACCGGGAATATCCCACTATTATGTCTGATTGGCATTGGGCTTATGTTGAAAGTATGTCAAATCAGTTCGTTAATTTTTTTGCGAAATGTAATTGAATTAAACAAGTCACATGAACATTAAAAATCTTAATATTTAAAATCATTTCAATAACTCGCCAAATTATTTTCCGAAACCCACGTGAGAAATTTGTATAAAAATATTTTACTGGCATAATAGACGGAAAAGGGACAGTCAAATCCCAGGCGCTGAGAACTGCACTTCACGAAAACTGCTCTAGTTGTTCACCAGAGATTCAAGGATTGTACCCTCTCACAAAACTAAACGTTTCGTGTATCTTTACAATGAATTATGTTCTATACTGCAACACATGTCAGGAGAACGGTCGGAAGCATAGAGCTTGGCCCGGCTGAGGCAGTGGCCTGCTGTCTTGGGAAGGGAAACCCTCGCAAGTAGACAAGTACGTACGGCGGTGGCGGCCATCGAGTCCTAGCGGGGAGGAACCCAGGCGTCTCGCGGGATGTAACAAGGACTACACTTACAGGATTAATAATAATAGCCGTTAAGATCTCCAAAAATCCAAAATATAGAGTCAATCGCATCTGAGTCATCGGGGGCATCGACGGCGGCGGTGAGCCCTTCGATGACGGGAACGTCCGTGCCACGCCCGATCGGCCGAGGGAATCAAGTGAGATCGACGCATACGGAAAGAAGAGACAGCTTGCGCAAGGACCTAAGAAAATGCCATGTTGTGGCCGTGCTCTGTGGTTAGTAGAAAACAGAATGTAATATTAAGAAACTTGACGGTTCAGCCCTGGCTCTTGTCATTTTGCACTGTAATAAGTATATTAGAGCTTACTTTGTTCGAACGTAAGGGATTAGTATAAATTAAACGTAAATGTTTGCTTATGTTATGTGTTAACCTTTATCCATCCATCCCTATTTAAAATTGAGATAGACATAGTATTTTGTTTGTATGATTCCAAATAGATACTCCAGCCTTGTAAGTTGTTCATTTCTTCTTTAAATTACGTGGACGTTATATATGTTCTCACTTCATGTCTTCCACTTATTTCAGGTAATACCACGATTTTTCAATCCCTGCTTTAGATTCACGGAAGGGATTGGGTTAAAAGGCAGGCTGGATCGATTATTTTCTGCGAAACACTTTTATTATGTAATATGTAAGTTACTATTTACCTGCAATATAAAATTTCACGTTTTCATTTCTTTTTCAAAAAAAATCTCTACACTATTTTTAGATATAATACTACAAAGGTGAATAATTTATCAAATTTAAAAGTAATAGATGATCCAAGTTGGTTTCCCTCAAAACCTGAGCAATGATGTCTTGCTTCAGTTGCACAACTCCCACATAATCCAAATATATTTTATATGTTAGGAATACACATTCTCGTTTTGTAGACATTCAATATTCAAGATATTACAACAATAAAGATGAATATAAAATCATTTTGAAACAAAAGAGCGCCCAACTGGCGCTCTCTCCGGCATCTGGTGCCTTCCCAGGTATTACACCACATACATTTTCCAAATAAAATCATTTCATTTGTGTAAAACGTGTCGAAACAGTAGTGCTTGTTGCAATGTGCTGGAGTCGCACACCGCATTTTTGATACCAAGTTCTATTTACTTTCTATGAATCCTATTACCGTCAGTTTTCTCAATGCAGAAGTAACAACAAATTTACGTAGCCAGTGGAAATCAAAGCCAGAACCACGTGTATGGAAGATATACTATATTCCTGACACGGACACTATGTATAAAATTATGTAAGTAATGTTTGAATATAGACTTTTATTTAACATAGTTTTAATTAATTTACATGAATTGCTTACATTTAATTACATATTAGTGTTTTTAATTTTGGAAATTACATTTTTGTCATTGGTTGGAAGTGCAACCTTCTGTCTGTTGGAGCCCCACTCGCCACTGGTCATACGTCGAAAAGAAGCGTTTCAGCCCGTTTAGCCCGTTTAGTGACACCCAGAGGCCAGTGAGTGAAAGAGACGCCGTACGCGAACAACAATACGAAGGAGGGGATCCTCGGCAACAAGAGACGGCGGCGGCGCGGAGTGCGCTGGCGCGGGCGGCGAAGGCCGTCGAGGGCGGGCAGCGAGGCGGAGAGGCGGAGCAGCCATGGCGCAGCCCGTCAAATGGAAGGCTTCTTCCTCCACCACCACCACCAACACCACCAGCACGCAGCCCAGAACCTCCACGCCCGCCACCACCACCAAAGTACTCTTTCACGAGGAACACGTTGCGTTCGACGTTGAACACGCGCGGATCGCGAGACGCAATTCAACTGCCAGAAAGATCAAACGGCAATGTCAATGTTACACATCCAACCATACGATATACATTTTTTTTTATTTTTACATGGAGGGGTCCCCATCTTCATATACTACATGTTTTCTTTGTTCCCTTGAAGATTCTTGATTATGATGCCACGGACGTTTTAGATTGCCATAATAAATCGTCTTCTAAATGAATACGTACCGTATACATTTCGTAGAATATTGGCAATACATTACAATTCTGTCAATCTTAAGGAATATCGGCAATGCTTCACTGTATTTCGCAGTATATCGTGTACACTCTCATTGCCGGGAAACGCACAACAAACCCTTATTCATTGTTTACATTCGATGACATCACAATCCCGTGCCCTGCCTTATTAGCACATCTCATGTACGACACGGGTCCGTATCAATATCAATATTTCAATTTCAATATCACAATTTGAAATCCTCGTATACTCTTACAATTAGACTTTTTTAGAAATTTTCATCAAGAAAATTGATAATTTAGAAAATCTGATAAAAGAATTGTTATTCTTTGCTAATATGTAGCCTGCTCAGACTTTTGCCCTACAATACTCTATTACACACTGACCAAACCGAACTGTCAGTACCACCATTCATCCATTACCCAACATGCAACGGCACTAGCATGTGAACCAAGGGTCCTTTTTAAAAACACTGATCACGCGAAAGATTGGAATTATATTCGTTCTTAGGTGCGCTGTGAGGAAAACACAAATGAACCACTTAGTGTTAGAAAATTACATTCTAACTGACCAGGATGTCCGAGGAGACTTAAGAGCGTATACCGACTCAGCGCTTTGGTCCTAAGGGTCGCGGGTTCGCCTTGGGAATGGTTGTTTGTCCCTTGCCCGTCATGTATGTGTCGTCGCGGAGGGCTTTGCGTTCTGCTGACCCCAGATCAGAGGAGCTCGCAAGTACGTCGGTCAGATATGCGTCCCATCGGGATGTGGAAGGTAACCAGCCGTCGGCTGGATAAACGGCCTTGGAAGAAAAAGTCCTTGGAAGAGAGTTCTACAACGTTTACAGTGATTGATTTTTCGGGGGAAGGCGCTGCCCTAGTGCCTTCAAGGAGACCTCTACAGGCAGGAACACCTCGTGCTAAGGAGACTCTGACAATTTAAGTACCAGTGTCGCTAATGCCCTGCATTGCCTGCCCTGCACCCAGGGCAGCGATGGCGCCGCCTCCGGGCAGTCCCGGTCGCGAGAGCGCGAGCAGCGCCCCTCGCGGTCGCGCTCAGCGTCCCGTGGCCGCTCGCAGGCGCAGAGGGCGAGCGCGGGGGCGGGGGCGGGGGCGGGGGCAGCGGCCGACGACAGCGACGACGAGCGGAAGGACGCCGCCCCCTGCGCCAGGAACCCCTTCAGAAAAGAGGCAAGGCAGAACATGCAGCAGTTGTTTCAATAATATTTCTGGCAACTCGTCAGCTAGCGGCTAGGGGAGAGGGCGTTCCGGGATCCAGTCAGACGCTTTTAATTGTGATGTCACTGTAGAGTTGTCGATGCTTATTATAAGAACAAATGAAAACTCACAACGCGAAGTAACTGAAAACTGAAGAGCGTTGAGCGCCAAGTAGCCAAGAACACCATTTGGCGCCATTACTTTTTTGGTTACGCGTCGTGTGTGCGGCTGTGTGTCGTCTACTGTTGTGTGCTCTCATTGCGATTTGTTCATTGCTACCGCTGCCGCTGTTGTTATCTGATACAAGAATGACCATACGACGACGTGTTTGCCCCGTCGTGGCAAAATCGTTCTAACTCAGGGTTGTCCAAGTGGCGGCCCTCGCTGCCATTTTTTGTGGCCCGCAACACACATATTAGTCAAAAGTGAAAGTCCGTTAAAAAGTCGGGCGAAAACATAGTGCCCTTAGCGCGCGCCTTGTTGGGTTAAATACCCTCTTTAATGTAAGAATAGGTAAAGTTTTGATTTAAGGATTTTTTCTAGCAAATTCAGAGATGAAAAAGCATCCCAATTTGATTCACTGGGTTATCCACGGTACGGTTCACGGCCTGATATCACGAGTAGTTCTATTCGGGGGGAATGCTTATAAGCATACATACATTCTTACATATCCCCCCTAGGTTTCAGAGTAGTCGAGCCATGTGCCGATATCAACATTAAGGGGAAGTCAGGTGTGAATTGCCCAAGAAAGGAAAATAAAGCAACCATATTAAAGGCTTTAGTTGTGGCTCTTGAGACCCTGCAAGTTGGATAGTCCTGTTCTAACTCTTCCCCAGCTGTAAAGTTGTCAGGTAAATTATTCGGACAAATGTCTAGCCGAGGGCTCCTCCGCTTCCGATCTAACATTTAGTGTTTCAGTTATTCAATTACACACTAAATTAGAGTGTACGAATCATGTATATCAAGGGTGCTCAAGTGTGGCCAGACTGCTCGCGGTGGCCAGCGGTCATCCAGCGCGGCAAGTTCACTGCAACCTACCAAGCAAAAACACACTACACTTACGGGAGTAATGGCCTTAGCAATTGACGCGCCCAGAATCACTAGTAATCAATCAATCATTTAAGCAACTAGAGCGCATCGTTTTTTTGTTCTGGTAACCTGTTTTGCGAATTGTATGAGCTGCTACTCTTTCTTCAGGGCGTAATCGGCAAACTTCTACTCTTCGTCTTAAATACGATGCGTTTAGGAAAGTAATTTTCTATCAAACAGTAGCATATTTACAGGTTTTCGAGTCAATAACGTCGTTATGCATAGTTAAAAATCGTCATCTTTCCATAGCGTTTTTAATGAAGTAGATATGTCATAAACTATTCGTTTTATACTTCAGCAGCTATGGCTGAATCTCGTAGTAAAATGACTTCCACAGCGAATGCACTAAATGTTCGATTGGCACACCTGTGCCCGCTCCCTAATTACAGGTCGACGCCCTTCACTTTCCCTTTCATCGATCAGTGAGATGCCGCCATGCGGTCGTTAAGGCGACAGTTGACGCTCTCCGAGAACCGTTGTCACCCGCTCAGGCCGCCAAATGGGTGGCATATGTTGACTATTGCGGAGTTTCAAACACGCTCGTACTCACCTACCAACTCAACTTGTTGAGGGCGGAGAGAGGATGCTTGGGAATGCTTCCCCTACACCTCGCGATTGAAGCTCCACCTTAAACGAGTCTTCATACTTGTAGTACATCTATACTTGAAATAATCGGATAAAGGAAAAAAGAGCAGACGTACAGATGGAGAGGCGGTAAGACGGACGGAAACAGACTGCCCGGCCCAGATGACCAGTCACTCAGACAAGTACAGATGCACAAAACGACACAACCTGACATTGACAGGTAAAGACGGACAGAGGAATGGAAGGCCACATTGACGAAGGTAGCTGGATAGTGAATACTATCGGACGGAAACAACAGACATCTACGCAGACGAATGGTCAAGAGGGCGGGAGAGACACGACAGACGAACAAGAAGCCACGCGTTTTAAGACGGACAGGTGACAAAGGTGGGGAGGTGGCAGAGACAGGCGAACAGGCACTTTTAATAAATTCATATTTGGTTAAAAAACAACCCAAAATGTGTATCTATGTCAAAATATCGGCCTTGCTCATAATTTCTGAACGTATCTCTCAACTCAAAATTCAACGGCAAAATTTCTGGAATGAATTACTCAAAGAGGAAAGTCCATTACAAAATGCGTCCGTCGTAATATTTGATTACAGTTATCAAACTTACTAGTTTTACAGCGCTCTGTTCACTTATCACACGAAATATTTAACACCTGCCTGAATACAGGTCTCTGCTCGTCTGTCTTCGCATTGAGTGCTGAACGCGATAAAAAAAAACTTGAAGTGTATACAGTCTGAGAGTCTCTCACAATATGGTATGGAAAATTAATACTTTGGGGTCATAAGATCAATGCACTAAAGAATTTTAGTGATACCAACGTAAAATTTAGGTGGTTTAAATCTCACAAATCTTCTCATAATAGGTAGAACCCCACAGAAAACAGATAAACAAACTTAATGGAAAGTGCAGGAAATTATTTGCGGATGATCAGCGATATTAAGATAAACATCTACTTTGTTCGTGGCACAACTCATGTAATAAGTGCAAGCAGTCTCGCATTTTAATTAAGCAATTAGAATATGCACGAACATAATGAAAGTTCAGATAACTCTCATTAATAAAAGTTCGGATAATTCTGTAACTATGAATATAAGACAATTATTTGTGCAGGTTAATTAATTGAACAAAAACGTGTTTGTAAGCCAAGACACTGTTTATCAAGAATTTTACCTGCAAGAAAAGAAACCACAATTTCTTGCTGTTTGGTCCCTCTGCACTTTTGATGGTTGTACCTCTCATGCCATCTAGCGGTCATCAGTCAAATTAAAGAAAGTGTACTTTCTTTGCATGAATTTTAGGACCACATGAACGTTCTCTTCTCTCTATACTAAGAATACATCCAGACGTTTGCAGTTCAGTTTTGTTTTTAACTGCGCACGTTTTCTTGAGTCCTCATTTTGCTACAGCGTTGCTTGAGTGAGGAGTTCGATTATTTTGTCGGCACGATTATTATATCAAATCTTTAGCTCTTTTCCCATGGAAATCATTTTTTATTGAACAGGAGCAAACATTTTGGATTATCACATTCTGTCAACGTCGCTCCTTCCTATCATCAACACATCCCTGCAACTATCAACAAATGTTGAACAGCTCATCCGCAGCTCAAAAAGACGTGCGCATATAATACACGTGCATATTACGTAGTAAATGAGAAACACTAATTCTTGCGCCAGGCAATATAATGATAAAGTCAACTATACAAACGTAATAAACCATGCATACGTTAACGCTTTATTGATTTGTTTGTTCTTCTCGTTATGCACTAAAGTGTATTGCACACATATTTTCATTGCAGGATACATCATGTCCTCCGAGGCCCTGTCCTGCCCTTCGGGTGATGTCGCGTTCAGTAAGTCATTGATATAAACAAATATTTCATTTCTAGAAAACGGATTTCCATATTTGCATATTTTCTTCCGTTGCTTCAGTGCTTAGCTAAGTGAAAATTATTGACATTTGGTTAAAATATGATGCTATGTAGGTTAATGCGTTAGTGCACGTTTCTGCATATTTAACCGATTTTTCCTGTTGATCCGTGTAATTATAAGCGCCTATTTAGCATATGTCGTTGAAATAGACACATCTCTAAAACGTTCCATTTTTTCATAGACTCTATTTATTATGAGCGTTAATTGATTCGAAAGGGCTTGTCAGTTTTTTTCTATAAATGATAACAAACTTGCGCAAATGTAGCATATTTCTTGATATATTTTTTAAACCAGCAGAAGCAATACAAGACATGCAATGTACTTCACTAAGGTGAATATTTATTTCACTTATTTCTCTCGCGACGTAAGGTAGATTATATCGTATTTGCACAGAAGTATATCATTTCGTACCAAGCATTCTTCTCCTGAATTTTATCAAGTAAGGTTTACAGAAGAAATGAAATATTGTTTATTTTAATTGCATATTAAAGGTCATGTTTCAGAATTTTTAGGTCATAAATACATATTTTTAAAAGCGTATTTAAAAAAGTTTAGGGCATAAAAATCCTCTCACAATTCATTACACATACCCGCAAATTTGTAAAAATCTCAAATCTGCATGCGATGTTTGAACTGATCTGTTTGTTCTCTTATGTGCTGAGATCCAAAATTGAAACAATTTTCTTCAATTCTGCATGGTGGGTGTTTTTTCTCTATTCGCGAAGTGGCTTTCAAACGAACTTGAAGTTACATAGTTATGGTTTGAAAAGTTGGGAAGTTGGGTTGAGTTCATTATTTACTTTATAGAGGTAAACTGGACAAAGATATTTCACCTTCTTAGATTACAAATGGTATCATTAACGTATTTTCATTTCCTTTTTCGGGGGGAGGGTGTAAACCACTATTGCACACAGCCCTTCTATTGTATGTGCAGCGTGGCCTAAGCACTTGTGCCAGTACCAGCAGCCTGGGCAGAAGCAGAGCATCACGATGCACGGATCGCCCGTGCGCCTGTCCCGGCAGGAGGCTAAAGGTAAAAGCCAAAGCGAAAATGACAGAATTGCTCAACGAAAAGTTTTTGGTCACGAAATTAAGAGCATTGAATATTTTCAAACTAAAGCTCGAATGGAAAATTCAATTTTAAACAATTTCTTTATCAACTTTAAACAAATATTGCTTTATTTAATTCAATAAAGAGATAATAAAAGTGGTTATTTAATTTCATAACGAACTTTAATTGCATCGTTTATTTATAATAGAACCAACCTAATGTATTTGTATTTTTAAATGATCTCACCTCAAAATCACTTCGAATACAAGAGTTTGTTGAAAAATATTTATTAAGACAAAATTTATTGTAAATAAAAAAAAACATAGTTGAGGAAACAGCAGTATGCAAACAGATTGAGGTTTTAGGGGTCTTCCATAAATGACGATAAGGAGTGTGTAATTATTTAGGGGGGGGGGGTCAAAAGCGCGTTGCGGGTCCGTTACAAAGGGGAGAGGGGTATTGAAAATACTCTAAATTTGCGTAATTTTTGGACGGCCCCTTAACACTTTAACATGCAATTTTTACGGGAATCCTACAATGCTCTTCTGGAAAACCAGATACAGTGCTCATCAAATTTGTGTGTATTTTAAAAAGAGTATCTCGATGGTAATAGGATACGCGCATATTAATCCGGCTGAGTGCGTGGACTTTCGAAGTGAGAAAGATCCGGCGATGGCCAGTTCATATTTGAAGCACGCAAAAGAACTTTCAGCAATAATTGAATCTTACGACATACTTCATCCTAAGCAGATATAATCGTTCTGCCAGAGAAGGATGTATTTGTAAGTAATAGATAAACATAATTGAGACTGTTGTCATGTGTGTTTATGGTTGGAAGTCAAATTAAAGGGCTTACATTACGCACATGGAGTGCTCTAAAATAAACGTCTCGGAACAGTTTCTCATTAGCCCTCGCATGTAAGAATAAAGGCAATCTGTGAATAAGAATCAGTCATTTAAGTACCGCACCAAGCGACCAAGTTGGTTTCCGCAGGTGCCGGACAAGGCCGAGATGCAAAAGGTTCTGTGGCACGAGAGGCCCTTTCGCCAGCTGTGCATCTGCAGGGACAACGCCAGCCCCGGCGTCACCCGCGCCCTCAACTGGGGCCCTGACCCCTGCTGCGGGACCAACTACAGCCATCCCTGCGGTTAGCATCCGCCGCCCAATTCGCAGTCCAATTCGAGTCTTCGCCAAAAGCCATTCGCAGATCTCGCGTTCGATCTCGGCAAGGAGCCAAAAATTTGTTTTACGTATTTTATGCGGCTAATTCGTAGGCCGACTGCTTCAATCAATGGTTTCCTTGAAGCGTGTGATCAGCAACATCCTGCGCATTGATCCGAGCGCGATCTTATCTTTCCGCCAACGACCATCGACGTTGAAGAGCCCTAAACACAATCAAATCAAATGTTCCATTGGGCGACCGTAGCAGCCAGACCGCTCGCAGTCCACCGCTGGGCCCGACGTACAATTTCTGGTCGATCCACGAGGAATTTGTGGTGGACGAAGCGCATTCGAGGCCAGTTTTCTCCGGGCCCTGCCTTTCATTCCATACCACTGCCTCGTTTTCATTCATCACTCGCCTGTCACTTCACCCATCCATCTCTGATGTAGCAGTTACACTAACTTTGGGATTGTAGTCGCTCGTGATTGTTATGATTCCTGCAGATCCGCAAGAAAAGACCAACTGCTGCCTTCCATTGACACCCCGCGGTAAGCAACCCGATTACACTTTTTTTTCTAACCAGGCGATATTTACTCACCCCAAAGCTGAACCATAGGACACCAATATGAACCTTTCAGTTTAATTATGTTAATCATACTGAGATGACCTAAGGATGCCAGTTCCTAAGCCTTTATAGCCGAAAGGGGACGAATGATTTTCAACTAAGGAAATTAAGGTGTAATTGAATTGAGTTAATTTAAAGTATTGATAGTTATGATGTTATAGCATGAAGATGTTCTAGAATGAAATACAGCATTAGAGGAATAAGAAGAAGCGGAAATGAGAAACGTAAAAATACGCGTGCCGTGAACCTCTTTCGGTCACTACAAATTCAAAGTGGATTGACCGGCATTTGAACCCCCAGTCCAGCGGTAGAAGGCGAGCTGTGTGACTCCTACGCCACAGGTCGCCCTGGTCGATCTTTAAGATACCAACGGAAGACGCATTTCGGCTATATCTGCGATCAGTGGCATAGCGCAGTGGGAGCGTCAGGGGCGGCACAATTTCACAATAAACAACATCAATAATGATACTAATAATAAATAATAAATAATAATAATAATATCATTCAAGATTTAAACCATTTCATTTCGTATTTTGTCGCACCTACGGTTCGGACCGATTGAAATGAGCACAGAATCATTGATTACTTATTCTGTGATGACTTTTTTCAATGATTGTATAACATAAATGACATCATGCTCCTTGTAGCGACTGGGAACTCTGTCTGCACTGACTCGTAGGGATTACCTGTATTTTATTTTGTTCTTGTATTATTTAAGACTAATATTCAACGACGATGATTTCTCTGACATAAAGAATCGTGTTAAATATTGTATAATAATAACATTTGCAAATTAGACTACAGTACGAATAAGTCCCTTCACGGAAGTCTGTAACACTTTGACAATCAAAGAAAGTGTCCAATCGTAACTTAATAGTTTATCTTAATGTGCTTTCCTAACAGTGATTTTAGTGCTCATAAGTAAGTGAGTAATTGTTAAATGAGTGAACTTTCTTGCAAATTATATTGTTCGTATATTTCGATTACGTATTAAATATATATTTTTTTTTGTATGTAATTGTAAGTTTGACTATCTGCTTCGTTATACAAGCTCGGATATTTTAAGACCTTTGTCGTTGCAGATCACAAGCCGTGCCGGCCGAAGGCGGCCCCTTGCCCGCCGCCCGCGCCGCCTCCCCCGTGCCCGCCCCCGCAGCCCAGCTACTTTAACTCCTGCGGCGACTGCAGGGGGTGCGGCTGCTGCTGCAACCGCAGGTGCTGTGGCGGTTGCTGCTGTTGCTGCAACGACCCGGACCCCGGCCCCAGCATCACCATCAACCTCGGGAAGGGCTCCGGCAGGAGAAGCTGCTGTTGCTGCAATCAGGTGCGCAACGCCAATTGTCGATTCCGCGTTCCCCTCTGCTATCTGCGTTTGTCATTTCCCTTTCTCCTTTCTTAACCCTGTTTCCCTTCTTCCTCTCCCCTCTTTCCACTCCAGTTCCTCCAAATATATAATACTATTTTATTATATTAATCAACATTGATCGTAGCAGCTTAAGAAAAGTGACACATTTAAAATGTAATTTTACAACTATACACCCGTCACTTGTGAAAAATTGTTTATTTGTAAAAATGTATTATTTTTCATTCATAGCTCAATAACTCAAAAATGCCGATTTTGACGTGCAACTTTTCTTTTTCTTCGATGATATGTCTTCCTGTTTCATTTATTTTAACAAACAAATATTCTCGAGCATTCCTCAAAATAATTTGTCTCCGTCTAAAAATAACTGTTCGAAAATTAATCTCACATATGTTTCTCTATAGCCTCTTTCTATCATTTGTTTCCACCTAACATTGTAATCATTAGCATAATAACAAATAACGCGAATCTTGTATCTTTTACTTCTTGTTGTTTTTCTATTCAATGATAATTTCTGAAATCGAAAAATATACTACTTTTCTTCTCAGTTTCTACATATATAATAACGCTGCATACGTTCGTTACCAAACACGTATAACTTGCATTTTACTAAAATCACAATAGAAGTACAGAATATGGTTAAAATCGTCCCCAGGTATCAAATAAAGTTTTCAATGTAATGCTCATACTTATAATTAGGTTTTTATTTCTTGATGCGCACGGCCTTGTCCTCACGATGGAATATCTTAGGGTATTTCGCGTCTTTCTCTTTCCTGCCGCGCTAGATGTTGCATGATCGCGACCGTACCGAGCAGTGGTGGCGATCATGCGAAATCTAGCGAGACGACCGAGAAAGACCCGAAATACCGTGAGATATTCCAACGTGAAGACAAAGCCTTGCGCGCCAAGAAATAAAAACCGAAGTATAAACACAGATAAATTGTGTTATAGTAACAGGTAAAATTTTGTTCACAAATCAAAAAATTATGTATCCCTGGAATAACTGCAACATTACTTTCGCTTTCCAGCAACCTTGTCAACCATGCCAACCCTGCGCCCCTGCTCCGTGCCAGCCTTGCGCGTCACCCTGCCAGCCAATGCAGATGGTTCTGCAGCTGCCTGTGGCGTTCCAGCCCTGCGCTGCTCCGTGTGCTACAACAGTGTGCGCGATGCCATGTGTACAACCGTGTTTCGTGCCACCTTGCATCCCTCAACCTTGCCAACCACGACCATGCGCGCCGCAGCCCTGCCACCCGCAACCGTGTCCCCCACGGCCGTGCCCCCCGCAGCCGTGTCCACCACGACCGTGTCCACCTCAGCCATGTCCACCACGACCGTGTCCCCCTCAGCCATGTCCACCACGACCCATTCGCAACGGGCTGCGGTGCGCACGGCTGCGGTGCGCACGGCGCGCGTGGGCACGGCTGGAGGTGCGCAAGGGCGCAGGTTGGCACGGTCAGGAGGGCACGGTCATCGTGCGTGCGACAGGCTGCGGGGGACACGGTCGGGTGGACATGGCTGCGGCGGAACAC